CCAGGGGGCCCAGCCTGCACCTGCCCCCCTGTGCTGGGAGAGGTGGCTGGGACCCTGTCCAGAGGGTTGGCCCAGCACCTTGGTGGCCTGGCTTTGCATGTCTGCCCCCTTCACTGGCCGAGGGGGTACGCCTCCCCTTTGCAGGATCCAGTACTCCCAGGGTGGCTCTGGAGTCCCTGGGAGGCTCGGCACTCTGGTGCTCGGGTGCTGAACAGAAGGTGGGTGGTTGGAACCCCCCCGGCAGCCCTGAGGGAGATGGAGGTGGCTGTCTGAGTGCTCAGATGACAGCCTTGGCTACCCAGTGGAGCCAGTCTACCCTCGAAGGTCACCGTGACTTGGGATCCACTCGGTCACACTGGGCTTTTGCTAGGGCGGCACAGAGTAGCAGCGTGTGGGGCTCGGAGCTGGCTTCCTGTGGTTTCGGACCTAGCACAAATGAGCCATCTGACTTGGGACAGGTTCCTTTTCTCTCTGGGCCTCAGTTTGCTCGTCTCTACCATGCAGGGGTCATGCCAGGGTGCTCCATGGGAACGGGGGCACACTCCTATGGGGTGTAGGTTGGGCAGGGGGTGGGTTTTCATAGCAATGGGCGGGCACTCAGCCGTCCCAGCACCAGGAGTGTAGACTTGTTACTTGCACTGTGGTAGGGGGCTCGGCCAGCATGATGGAGACAGCCCCTCCCCACCCAGAGCCCACAGTGCTCCGTGGAGAAATACTAGGGGTGCCCAGAGACGCTTCCCAGCTCCAAGACTGAGTCTTATGTCGTGAGATAGGGGCCAGCCCTTAGCGCAGTGGTTCTCAACCTTCCTCATGCCCCGACCCTTTCACCTCATGTGGTGGTGACCCCCAACCATGACAATTATTTTCATTGCTACTTCATCACTGTCGTTTTGCTACTGTTATGAATCATCATGTAGACATCTGATATTCAGGATATATTTTCATTTTACAAATTGAACATCACGGAAGCATAGGGATTAATCACAAAAACAGTATGTAATTCTCTATTGTGAAATATTTATTTCTAAGTACAAATAAATGAAATTTTGTCTTGAAGCATGGTGTAGCATGGGTAACAGTCTTCACGCCATGTGGGAAACAGAAAGATTTCTCCCAAGTCCTCTCCCCCAAATATGTTAGACTTAGGACACTGCTTGTAGCTAATGATAAAAGTCATTTCCCTTGAGGCAATCAGCTGCCAGACTGCTGTCTCCACAGGGTGGGCCTGCTCCCTGCTGCTGGGGACAATGGACGACTTTTTCCTGAGGCTTGGTTCTCGTAGGTGCCCCTAAACCACCCCCTTCCATTACTGTATAACCTATAGTGCAACCCCTTCCTGTGATGTATGTCTGTTCCTGTAATTAGTGGGTTTGCATGCCCCCAAAGGTATATAGGCCTGGGTTAGCAATTGAGAGACCTAGCTCTCTCAGCTCCTCCCTGGACCTCTCCTAGGTTCCTCTCCTCTCCCTCCCTCTTTCCCCTGTTCCTTTCCCCCTCTCTCCACGTGGACCACCAAGCGGGGCTGAGGTGAGCATTACTACCATAAAATGTGTCTGACTCCATTATTTTAATATCTCTTTTATCTCTCATGCTCTCGATGACTTTAATATAATTTTTATATATCTCAACCTTACAATTGTGCTTACTGAACCCGTGATTAGTGGTGGAGGACTGGCCACCCTCCCCCCACCTTAAACCACAATGCCAGGTACTTATAGGTGGGCATCTGCATATGGGCGGACCGGCCTGGAGACGGATAGAGGAGTGGTGTCTTGGTTCCTAAGGCCATGGTGGTCATAGGCTACCCCTGGGAAAGGGTCATTGGACCCCCCCCAAAGGGGTCTCGACCCACAGGTTGAGAACTGCTTCCTTAGAAGAACCGTAGGACGTGGTCTGGCCCCAGGGGCAGCCCCCACTACTCTGCACCAGCCCCAGGAGAATGGGTTTGTTTTATCTTAACATTGACCTCACCAGGAGGCTGGTGCTCAGTACTGAAAGAGCCAAAGCCTGCCCCTGGGGACTTGGGCGGGCATGACTTGGCCACGACGGGTCTCCAGTGGCTTGGAAGAGATGGGCAGGAACAGCCTCTTCCCTCCTGCCCGTCTGGCCCCAGTTGGCCAGAAACAGCCGGCTTTTCTGGGGAATAGCCCCAGGGGGCCCGTGGCCTGATTCTCCTTCCCGGGTTCTCACTGCCCTCTCCCTTGCCACCACCCAACTCTGGCATGCGGCTGATGTTCCAGGCCCAGCGGCTTCCGGCACCTGGCACCTGCAGGGCACCCACGTGGGCCAGGAACAAAGCCCAGTGTGCTAGTTTGCCTCAGTCACCCAGTCAGGTGCCTCGCCCTCCCCTCCCCAGCCCCGCACCCGCAGCCTCTCCCTCATCCCTTTGTTCTGCTGCGTCCAGCTCCAGGTGAACTGAAGTGGGGTCAGAGGAGAAACTGCGTGGGTAGGGGAACCCTGGAGCGACGAGGCTCACCTCTGAACGCACCACAGAAAGACTGGCCCTGCCCTGGCCTCAGAGACAGAGAGAAGGGCTCAGGGTGGCCTTGACCCGGCTCTGCTTCTCCAGCGGTGGAGTGGGTTCGCTGCTTCCCACACCTGGAGGTGTGAGCACCATCGATGGGTATAATCTGGTCCTACAGACTTGAAGGAGCCCTGGGGACGTGGTGGTTATGCGCTGGGCTGGGCTGCTAGCTGCAAGGTCAACCGTTCAAAACCCCTACTTTCTCCCGGGGAGAAAGACCTGGCTTTCCCAAACTCCCTTGAAGAGGGAGTGTTGGAAACCCACAGGGGCAGTTGGATCTGCTCAGTGGCCGTGAGTGTTTTGAGTGGAGACTGGAAGCCTCTCTCCTTTGGGAGGCCGCTCTGTGTGTGTGACCAGCCTTCAGTCCCCCATCCCCCGGGCTCCTCTCTCCTTGGGCACCCTTCACCGGCATTTTGAAATTAACCCAGAGGTGCCTTGGAAGAAAGGCCCGGCACTCTGGTTCCCAAAGGACTCACCATAGGGCGCCTCTGCTTGGAAATCCACTGGGGGAGGCCGTGGTCAAAACTGACTTGATGGCCACTGGTGTTAGCATCTGACCCGCGTGCGCATGCATGCCCCATGTGAGTGTCCAGATAAGCGTCCACTCTGGGGGAGGGCTCTCCATCTCTGTGCTCAGCCAAGCACCCAGGACAGCGTCCACTGACCCTCCCGCCAGCACGGGTTGGAGGGGCCCACGGGTGGCCTCTCTGACCAGCCTTTTCCCACGGCCCATCTGCAGGTGCCCAGGCGGCCATCGTCTTCATCAAAGAGCCGTCCTCGCAGGACGCGCTGCAGGGGCGCCGGGCGCTGCTCCGCTGTGAGGTTGAGGCCCCAGGCCCCGTGCGAGTGTCCTGGCTGCTCGACGGGGCTCCTGTCCGCGACACGGAGCGGCGCTTCGCCGAGGGCAGCAGCCTGAGCTTTGCGGCCGTGGACCGGCTGCAGGACTCGGGCGCCTTCCAGTGTGTGGCCCGGGATGAGACCACGGGCGAGGAAGCCCGCAGCTCCAACGCCTCCTTCAACATCAAATGTGAGGCTCTGCCCTGCCCCTGCTCGCCCCTAACCACGGAGCCCTACCTGGGCGGGCTTCTCCTCTCGCCAGGGGAGAGCCAGGGTGTGGCCAAGAGGAGGCTCAGTCACGTTGTCGTCGTGTCCCTCCCACCCCTGTGTCCTCCCCTCTTCCTGTCAAGGGTTAGGCCCATTCATCTGCAGCTTGAAGGGCAGGTAGTCAGGCAAAATACCAGGCTCGGTCCACCAGGGATAGGGTGGGCACTTAGTCTCTGCCACCTGCCTCAACCCACGCCCTGGGGCACCTTCACTCCCTCCTCCCCCCCCTCCCCAGCACCCTTGCTGTGCTCCGCCCTCACTCTGCACCTGTGGCCCCTGCTGCAGGGATTGAGGCGGGCCCTGTGGTCCTGAAGCATCCTTCCTCGGACGCTGAGATCCAGCCGCAGATCCAGGTTACGCTGCGATGCCACATAGACGGCCACCCTCGGTAAGGAGTCACGGCCCAGGGGTGCCGGGAGGAGGGGGCACAGGCCATCCTAGGCCCTGTCCAGAGGGACCCTGCTTGACCCTGTAAGCAGCCACCCTGCTCCCTACCACAGTGCTCCTCACTGCCCCCTGGAGGATATAAGGGGGGCCACAGGGACCTGTGGGGTGGCCCCTGGCTTCTGGAAGCCAAGAAGAACTTAGGATCTCAACCCGATTGTGTTTTTGAATTGTGTGTACTCATGTACAAGTGCCTTCCCCTTCCCGGCCTCAGTTTGCCCCATTTGCACCCCGAGGGGACTCTAGCCTTGACCCTTGAATTCTCTATCTGCCCTGCTGGCCGCCTGAGCACCCCCTCTTCCCTGCTTTGCTGACCCCCGCTGTCCCGCAGGCCCACCTACCAGTGGTTCCGAGACGGGAGCCCCCTCTCTGATGGTCAGAGCAACCAGACGGTCAACAGCAAGGAGCGGAACCTCACCTTCCGGCCGGCCGGCCCCGAGCACAGCGGCCTCTACTCCTGTTGTGCCCACAACGCCTTCGGTCAGGCCTGCAGCAGCCGGAACTTCACCTTGAGCATTGCGGGTGAGGCTGGGTCTGGGGGCCGGCAGGCTAGGGCGTGGGAGGGCCTCGCTGTCCTGCCGGCTCACGCCCCTCGCTTCCCCCACCCTCTCTCTCCCCACTGCCCCAGATGAGAGCTTCGCCAGGGTGGTGCTGGCACCCCGGGACGTGGTAGTGGCAAGGAATGAGGAGGCTATGTTCCATTGTCAGTTCTCTGCACAGCCGCCCCCCAGCCTGCAGTGGGTCTTCGAGGACGACACTCCCATTACCAACCGCAGTCGGTGAGGCATCTGGCAGGGAGCCTTCCCATGCAGTGGTGCAGGCTGTACACTGAACCAGGCTCCGCTGGGAGGGAGGAATTCATGCCCCAGACGCCTCAGCTGTGCAGGATGCCTTACTTCAGATTGCCAGCAGATGGCAGCAGCATGCGTCGCTGTTGTATAACCACGGTCTATTCCCATAGAGTAGAGCCGGCTGAACCGCGTCTCAGAAAGGCATGGCGGATGGTGTGAGCTAGCAACGGCTCTCTTTCTCTGCCTCTGTCCCTCTTGCCCACTGGAGCCTTCTGGATTAAAGGGTGGGGGGATCCAGGGGTGGAATTGGCCCAGGGGACTTGGGGAATTGGCCCCTGTCTGGATGGCAGGGTCCTGGTCGGTAAAGATAGGAAACACACACACTTTGGAAGGGAGCACACACTTCCAGAAGGTGCTGGGAGGTGCCGGCTCCTTTACCCCCTTGGGGACTTCTTAGGAGCCAGGCAGGGCCATGGTCCTTGGAGATAGACGAGGGGCTTAGGTCCCACCAGCCTTAGGCCATCAGTGTTTCGGCTGACATGGCTGGGGTCTTCTGGCTGCAGCTGCTGGGTACCTCTCCAGCTTGTCTCTGAAGCCTGGCCTTGGCACGTCCAGCTGTGTGCTCCTGGGCACTGGCCACCTCTCACCTGCACCGCTACTCACCTCGCTGGTGACGTGCATGAACAGTGCAAACACACCCTCCGGTGCGGAAGGTCGGCTGCTCTTGCTATGCCCTTGACCTACACCCAGCACCGTCGGGGTTCCACTGTGCTCCCCTGGTGGCTGCTGCTTCCACGGCACCCTGTCCCCTCCGCAGCCCCCCACACCTCCGGAGAGCCACCGTGTTTGCCAACGGGTCCCTGCTGCTGACCCAGGTCCGGCCTCGCAACGCAGGGGTGTACCGCTGCGTGGGCCAGGGCCAGAGGGGTCCACCCGTCATCCTGGAGGCCACGCTGCACCTGGCAGGTGGGTCCCTGGATCTGGACTGCTGGGTGGGGGCTGCTGCCTGGATGGCAGGCAGGGCAGGATTTAGGTTTCTGGCTCCCTAGAAAGCTGCTTGGAGAATCAAAGGAGGAAGGCGAGGGGTGGACCTCAGAGGGCTCTCAGTTGGGGATGCTGTGGCCAGAAATGGAGTCATGGCAGCACTGTGGCAGGTTAAGTGTTAGGCAGTGGTTCCAGCCCACAGGAGTAAGATGTAAATAGGCAGAGATTTCCAGCCTCAGAAAGCCCCCGAGTCCATTCTACTCTGCCCAGTTGGGTCGCTGTGAGCAGGAACAGACTGGGCAGGAATGGGTTGGTTGGCTGGGTGACTGGGAAGACCTTGGCACTCTGTGAGAGGGCATCCTGCCCACCGGAATCCATAGTCATGGGCTGCCGCCCTCCCGCTCTCTTCCCACAGAGATTGAAGCCATGCCGCCCTTGGAGCCCCGGGTGTTCACTGCAGGCAGCGAGGAGCGCGTGACCTGCCTGCCCCCCCAGGGCCTGCCCGAGCCCCGGGTGTGGTGGGAGCACGCAGGAGCACGGCTGCCCACCCACGGCAGGGTCTACCAGAAGGGCCACGACCTGATGTTCATCAGTACCACCGAGAGCGACGCTGGTGTCTACACCTGCCACGCCGCCAACCTGGCTGGCCAGCGGCTGCAGGAAGTCAACATCACTGTGGCCAGTGAGCACCTTTGTCCTGGAGGCCGAGGGAGGTGGGAGGAGCCCAGCTCCAGGGGAATCCCAGGCACTGGGTGCTCCGGTGCTGGACCTGCAGGTGTGGGCATCAGTCAGCTTCCGGGGGGTCATGTCCCAATGAACGGGGAAGGGCCGAGGAACTGGAGGAAATGGTAAACCCGCACAGCAAAAAAAACGGTCCTCTGGCTGCAGAGAGAAGGGCAGGGGATGGGGAGTCGGGAGATCTGTGTCCCACTGGGTCCCCAGGGCCAAGCTGCCCGGCTTGCCTCCTGCCTCCTCATCCCTAGAGTGGACCTAGTCATCTCCCTGTCCTTTGGGAGGCTTAGGGAGGTCCCACGGAGAAGGTGAAGGCAGTGTCTATTTTCCTAGGAAGGCGCTGGCAGACAAAGTCTGCGAGGTTTTGGTTCCCACCGTCATCTGCCCTCCACGTGCCTGCACTGAGCAGACGGCCCATGAGATAAGAGGGGGAATGCAGTCTATACTAGATGGCAGGGCGTTGGGCATGGACCTGTGCACCCGGGGGCTTGAGTGGAGAGCGTGTGCAGAATGAGTAGGAGCGTGTAGGGGGCTCTGTCTGGGGGTTCGGCTGCCGTATGGGCTAGAAAAACCACCCAGTCCATCCTGACCCCTGGCAACCTTTGTCCAGTGTTGGATCTCCCATAAACGTGAGCTGACTTGTGCTTTCTTACGGCTCTAGTGAACAAGTTCACCTTTTCCACCACATCGGAGATGCGGCTTCTGGGCCGGGCCTGCACCTGCCTCTCCCCCAGCAACCCCAGCTCTCCTGTGGAGCCAAAGGCTCTCTCTAAATGCGGGGTCCCTGACAGGAACGGGGTGCCCAGAGAGCAAGGAAGCACAGGCTCACTTGTGCTTACTTACTAATCTGCCGTGAGTCATTCACTCTTGAAGCCCACGTGTGCAGGGGGGTCCATGGGGTTTGCTTTTCGGGTCCTAAGATAAAATGTCGTGAACAGATACGACATGCTTTATTTTTAGATAGCTTTCATTTTTGCCAGGTCACACAGCCTTTGCAGAGCGTTGATATCGCACACAAGCCACTCCAGCATGCTTTTTAAAAGAATTATTTTATTGGGGGCTCGAACAACTCTTATCACAATCCATACATCCATCGTGTCAAGCACATTTGTGCATTTGTCCAACATGCTTTTTGTTGATGCAAAGACGACATTTTAGAGACAGGAAATTTTAAGCAGAGTAACCTAGTTCAGGGCAAAAAGATAGCGTGGCTATTGCTACCTTCTCTCGAACCTTGACGTTTCAACGTTGAAACCGGCTGACTACAAATTGAAACAGGTGGGCCTTGCTCTGCTCCACGAGACAGTGATGAGGCAGACATCTAAGTATGCAAATGTATTCATATAATCAGTTGTGTGAATCCAAATATAAAAACGATCGATGGGCTGTGAACTGGCATTCTGCATTTCTGTGCAGCACCGAGTGACGCTAATCCAACCTGCCCGAGTCCAGAGGTACCTTCGGGAAAAGCAGTGATGTCACTCGCTGAGCAGGGATGCCCATCCGACGCCTAAGTCTGACCATAGCCATTTAACCACAGCCTATCTGTTAACTTAATTTAGAACTACCCAACCATCGTATTTTATCAGTTTCCCGTGATCTGATGTCTGATGTGTGAGATCAATTAAAATATGGTACGCGTGTTGAAAGTAAAGTCACAGACATTCCTGTTTTACAATGAAGGAGGCAACGGCCAACTGTTACTCGGCAGTAGCTTTCTTGAGTTAAGCGATCTAGCCTGCCCTTTCTGCGTTCTTACTGACCTACAATTCGCATGTCATGATTTCAGGGCTCAGTCATATTAAAAAGAGCTGTGCAATCGTTACTACAGTCAGTTTGAGAGCATCTCGCTTATGCTCGTTGTGGTTGGCTCCCCATTTCCCCTACCATGCCCCTAAAAAGTCTTGTGGATCCAGTGGCGGTGATAGCCTCTCCGCACTGGCAGGGGTCTCCACGCAGCTCCAGCTCCAGGGCTCTGGCTGCATCAGCATAGCTCCATGGGAGAGAGCGTGTGTCCCACCTCCAGGGAGCTATTTATCTCCTTAGCGCATCCAAATGAGGTCATCAAGCTGCGACCTGATTGTCAGGCTAAACTCTACCCTTCACTTTTTTTCCCCACCCTTCTCTTTTAAGCCTCAAATTGACAACAGATTGTGCAACTACCACACTGTCTCTCTAGATTTACATATGCTGGATTTCTTACACTGAAAAACATACAAAACAACAACGACAAAATAAAACTTCAATTGAGTAGACAGCAGAAAATATTAAAAACTAGGACAAATTTAAAATGGGTCAAAAGGGAGATCGAATAATAAGGTGTTACATCTTATCCTAACTGCATCTGTCTTCAATAATCCACTTTACGCTGCACTGTCTGATAGCACGGGGATTCACATCCCTGCTCAGTGGTCAGAGGCTTAGTCCACATGGGGACCCAGCAAATGGATGTTGGGCTTCTGCCCGCTGGCATAGCCGTCTGAAAGCCGGGTGGTCTTCTGTCTTGGTAATGGCAGGGACGCTCGTTGCTGTTCTGGGGTGTACGCCTTGGGAGTCCCCAAACACCCTATCAGTGCCATGCTTTCTCTCGGTGATACCTTTGCTCAATCCAGGGGCTCCACTCGCCTTCCACCCGCCATGCCCACCCGTCCCAGTCTCGTATTTGCCTCCCCTGCCCACAGTGTGACACCAGGTACACATCTGAACAAAAAGTCGAATTGCCCTTCCCAACATCGCCCTTGAAAAAATATTTTTTTGTTAATTGAGATTTAATACATATATCATTCCATGGTTCAATCACGTCAAACACAGTCGTACAGTTGGCACCACAATTAATTTCCAAGCATCCTTTTTCGACATGACCTCCTTGAAATGGAATCTCTCTTACACGCCCCCCCCTCCACTGTAGCCCCGTCCCCCCAAAACCCTTATTCTACTTGCTGCCCCTGTAGGTTCATCAGTCCCGGGTTTCATAGACCGAGAAATGGAAAACCATGTAACTCCACTTCAAGAGGGTGTCCTCCAGTGACAACCCCTCTGCGATACAAAACCAAACCAAACAACACAAACCAAAAAGTGCAGAAATACTTGGAAATCAGATCCGGTCCAACCTGCTTCGCAGGGGAGTGGGTTTGGGGTCTATCGACAAAGTTTTAACTGTTCAAGTCAGATTTCGGCCTTTGATTTTTCCATGCTCATCTCTCCCAAGCACTGTGCTCAGTGACCCCTTTCCTCCCGGCTTGCAGTTTTAGATAGGGGAGTTCTCCGGAGGCTTCGTTCCTGTGTCGCGCCACAAATGGCTCTTGGGCTCCCAGTCATCCATCTCCTTTTGCACACCAGAGTCTCACGCTTTAGGCTCTGAAACTAACCCCTCCTTCGACGTCGGATTTCATGGGTTCCAATCCTGCGGTGACTGATGACAACACCCCTTTTGAATTCACTCCCCTCGTGTGTGCGCCACATGACGGTAACTGCTCAGGAGCCAGATGGCTCACTCTCTCATGCTAAGATAAAAAGCATTCCTTTCTGTCCTTGGAGCCCTGGTGGTGTAGTGGTTGTGCGTTGGGCTGCTAACTGACAGCTCGGCAGTTCAAAACCACCAATTGCTCAGAGGGAGAAAGATGAGCCTTTCCCGTCCCATTCCTGGAAACCCACAGGGGCGCTTCCACCCTGTCCTGTGGTGCTGAGATGAGTCAGTCCACTAGAGGGCAGTGAGTTGGTTGCTTGGTGAGTTGGTTTCTATCCTTTGCTCTTAGAAATTCTTAAGTGATTTCATCACAATTAAACTGCCAAAAAGTATCTATCTCCTTCCATTCATAATAAGGATAATGAAGGGATGCTTTCTTGAATCACTGCCGTACCCCGAGCACTTTTTAGCTGTGGGATGAAAGCGGGCCCTCTGTTGTGCAGTGTGTGATCGGTAACGTTACGGGAAAGTTCATACAGTAAATCTCACAATCGGGAATTTGGCACTTAATTTTGCTCCTCTATTACGGGATGCACATGCCCGCGTGCGTACGGTTTCTCCCACCTGTAATCTAGCTCTCGAGTCAAGAATGGAATGTATCTGTTTTCAGGATGAGGGGCGCTCATTTCTGGGATGCCTGTCTGCATCCTTCATCGGGCATATCCACGCTGCAGAAGGAGGAAAATCTGTCTGAAAGGACTTCCTACGCGCTCGCTCTCCTTTTCATGAAAGTCAAGCGCGTTGGTCGGATGGCGAACGCAGGGAGTGGATTCCTAAGACTGACCACGGGCCCTCGGCCGTGCATCTAGAGCACCGTGACTGGGATGGGGGACTGTTAGATGATCAGTCTTTGTCTCGTTGTCCATGGGTTCAAAGTCTTCCCTTAGACCAGCGGTTCGCAACCTGTAGGTCACCACCCCTTTGGGGGTCGAATGACCCCTTCACAGGGGTCTCCCAATTCATAACAGTAGCAAAATGACAGTGATGAAGTAGCAATGAAAATAATTTTATGGTTGGGGGGTCACCACCACATGAGGAGCTGTATGAAAGGGTCATGGTATGAGGAATGTTAACCCCTGCCTTATTTGATCAGTACCCTGTACGTGATGGTGCGTGCTCCGGAATCATGGAGCGTTGGACTGGGCTGATGAAAATGCTGTGACGCATCATTCCGCGCGACCCAGTCACTGTTTGCACTGCTTGTTCGGCATCTCCTTCCTGTGTCCCGTCCTCAGCAGACTTTTCTAAGGCATCTAGCCTCGGCGCGTGTGGGTCCGTCTAGGATGGCAGGGCTGATACCTTGCACACTCCGCATGCGAAGTGTCGAAGAGACATTTTAATATGCGATCCTGGCCCACATGTGCTTTAAGAGCTGCCCACTGGTGAGCAGACGAGCCCCAAAGGTGTGGAGAGTGGTTGAACACTAGGGAAAGCCAAAACCAAGAACAACTGCCTCGGGACAACGGTCTGCTCCGAGAGGCCCAAGAAGCTGCTGCGAGTTGGCAGCACAGCCCCATTGAGTTTTCAGGAGTTAATCCCCAGGCTTGTCATACGAGGCGGCCCTTGGGTGTGATCGAACCACCAACCTCTTGATTAGTAGTCAAATACTTAATCGTCCGTGCCACCCAGGGGGCCCCTGATATTGACTGAGAAAGCTGTGGGAGCAGGGTTGAGGGTCGGTCAGATGCTGTTTTGGGGGCAGCAGGGTTGGAGGGGCCTGACGGAGCCCTCCGGTTGGAGATGCCAACAGACAATTGGATGTGCCAGGCTGAAGCTCGCCGGGTAGCTCTGGGCTCAGGCTGCAGAGTTGGCAGTGGCCACTCCTGGGATGAGAGGCTGGCGACTGGGAGAGGCTTTTAAGGAAGGAGCATGGCTAAAACAGAACCCAGACCTGAGGACGGACACCTTAGGGTGCTGTGTCATACAAGGAGCCGGCGGTTTGACGCGTGGAGACCAGACTGTAGACCCCAGTATGTCACGTTAGTGGGGCCTGTCTTCCTGCACGATACAATGAATGTAGGAAGACTTAACCTTGGGCACTTCCGGTGACAGTTAACAGGATGATGTCCACAGGGTTTCAGCACATAGGTCTTCCTTCCCTGAGGGAACGGCTGGGGTCATTTTTTATAGCAGGCGACCTCAGGGCCCAGTGGGTTCACTCCCATTGTGAACTTCCAGGGGGTCGACCTTTGGTCTCCAGGACTATTAACGGACTCCTCGCCTCTCCCCCTAGCGGTGCCCACGTGGCTGAAGAAGCCCCAGGACAGCCAGCTGGAGGAGGGCAAGCCTGGCTATTTGCACTGCCTGACCGAGGCCACGCCCAAGCCTGTGGTCATCTGGTACCGAAACCAGATGCTCATCTCTGAGGTGAGAAGGAGGCTGGGGGGGCCTTCCCCCAGAGGCTGCCCCCAGGGAGAGGCTGGTACGGGTCCAGGCGGAGACCCCCTGTGGTCGTGTCCCCTGCACGCAGGACTCCCGCTTCGAGCTCTCTGAGAACGGGACCCTGCGCATCAACAGTGTGGAGGTGTACGACGGGACTTGGTACCGCTGTGTGAGCAGCACCCCGGCGGGCAGCATCGAGGCCCAAGCCCGAGTCCAAGTGCTGGGTGAGCCGACCCAGGCTGGGCAGGGGGAATGCTGTGTAGCGGTGTCAGGGCAGCACAGAGGAAGGGGCAGCAGAACCCAAGGCCAGCGGGTCTGCCCTCACTGCCTCAGTTGTCCCTCTCTCCCCCTCCCCGTCTTCTGAAACAGAAAAGCTCAAGTTCACACCCCCGCCCCAGCCGCAGCAGTGCATGGAGTTTGACAAGGAAGCCACAGTGCCCTGCTCAGCCACGGGCCGAGAGAAGCCCACGATCAAGTGGGTTCGGACAGGTGGGTGCTGTGTGGGCGTGGGGGACAGCAAAGGTGGCCTTTGGACTGTGAGTACCCAGCACCGTGACGGGAGCTAGGCAGACCAGACACAGAGGATTCCTGTCATCCAGTTAGGACACGAGCTTGGCTGCGAAGGGCCCCAGTTACAGCACTGGGCAAAATATCAACAGAATCAAGGTACCCAGTGGTGGGTCCAGGCAGGATAGGGCTACACACCAAACCAGGTGCTGACAAGTCCACTCCGACACCTGCTAGCCCCAGGGGTGTCACAACTGTGCTTCACAGATTTTCAAGGATTTTTTTTTTAAGAAGCAGTAGATTACCCGGCCTGTCTTCCGAGGCACCTCGAGGTGCACTTACACCCCTAGCCTTTTGGTTCCCAGTTGCGCAACACCCAGGGACTCCCCAAACAACACGGGGCTCCTTAAACATTTTGAAAGAAAGTAGATCCATCATAAGGAGCCTCTGGTGACATCGGAGTGGTTAAACACGGGGCTGCTAACTTCAAGGTCTGCGGTTCAAAACCACCAGCTGCTCTGCTGGAGAAAGACGGGCTTTCTACTCCCGTAAAGAGTGATAGTCTCAGAAAACCCACAGGGGCCGTGATGTAGGTTTGCTGTGTGTGTTTGGTTTTTCACTTTTATTTTTCGGTGGGGCAGTGGTAAGCACTCCCTTACCAACCTCCAGGTCAGCGATGTGCACCCACCAGGCGCTCTGTGAGAAGAAAAGCCCGGTGGTCGGCCTCCAGGAGGGTGACCGTGTAGGAACCCCGCGGGGCAGTTCTAGTCTGGTCCACAGGGAAGCCAAGTGGGCAGGAAACACCAGGCTCCTTGCCAGCAATCACCCTGCTGACTCACCGCGCCCTCTGTCGGTTTCCCAGACTGTTGCTGGTGACGGGAGTAGAAAGCCCAGGCTGTCTCCCCTGGAGCTGCTGCTGGTTTCGAACTGCCGATCATGCCACTGCCAACCCAGTGCGTGACCACTACCCCCCTCGCTCCTCAGCAAACGACAGCAGACCCATAGTCCCACTGCCTGTTCTCTTTGTGGGGAGGCTGTGTGCTCTTGGGTGCAGATCTTGTTGTTTTCCCTGGCAGCTTTTTGCAATTTTCATTTCCTGAGTTTACACAAGTCAGACCTGCTTGTTACAGAGCAAGTAGGAAATGCACCTAACGATAAGGAATGCTTTACCTAGGGAATTTCTTTACCTAGCATTAGGGAGCATGTCCCACTTTTTGATACGTATTCTGCATAATCATTAGTTCTGATGATTATAATAATACTCCAAGGATCTAATTCACTGTGATTTACTTAAACACTCCCTACATGTTGGAGACTTGCGTTGGTAACCATTCTTTATATATATATTCTATATATATAATATATATAAGCCATCCTTTAAAAAAATTTGTTTTTCCTTTACTGCTGTCATAAACATCTTTAAGCCAAAGCTTTTTCTGGACTTAGATTTATTTCCACTGGGAGGGATTCCCAGAAATGGAATAATTATGTATAAAACGGTGTGCAGATTTACAACCCTTAACGCACATCGCCAATGTTTTTAAATTTTTTTTAAGGCGTTGGGCCAGTTTCCAGAGTGGGAGAGGAGAGTTGTAAGTGCTTCAGGGGAAGCAGGCGGGCTCTGCTCAGTGATCTGGGAGTCTCCTGGTGAGGTGGGCTCTGAGAATGGGCATGAAGCCGGTAGGGGGCCAAGAGCAGGAAGGTTCCAGGCAGGAGCAGCCTCAGGCAATGAGCATGAGAATTGAGGCAGGCCCCCTTCAGAAAGTGCTGTTTGGCAGAAGTAGAAAGTCATACAGGAGCGCCGAAAGAAGGGAGGCTGGGAAGCTGCAAAAGGAATACATAAGGAGGGGCTCCTCCCCGTGCGCTGGAGCCCTGGTGGCATAGTTGGTAATGCCTGGGGCTGCTACCCTCAAGGTCAGCAGTTTGAAACCACCAGCCACTCCAGGGGAGAAAGAGGAGGCTGTCTACTCTGTGAAGTGTTACAGCCTCGGAAAACTCAAAGGGTAGTTCTACTTTGCCCTGTGGGCAGGCGAAGAGTCACAATGACACCAGGGCAGTGAGGGTATGGTTTTATCCCACCCCTCGGTGGGACTTTGGGGTGGCATAAACACTTGACGCTCAGCTGCTAACCAAATGGTTGGCAGTTCAGGTCTACCCAGAAACACTTTGGCAGAAAGGGTGGGACAGCTGCCAGTCAGAGCTAGGCTGTGTTTTGCGCAGTGGTGAGGTTTGAGTTGAGGAAAGTGAGTGGGGTCATTGCCAGCCACCCCTGTAACCTTGGTCCACCCCCTAACTCCCCTTGCCCCCCTTGCAGATGGGAGGAGCCTCCCAGAGTGGGTGACGGACAACGCTGGGACCCTGCACTTCTCCAGGGTGACACGTGGGGACGCTGGCAACTACACATGCATCGCCTCCAATGGGCCGCAGGGCCAGATCCAGGCCCACGTCCAGCTCACGGTGGCAGGTGAGGCTGGCAGGGATCACTCCGGGTGGCCATCTCCTCCCTGACCCTGGCCCTGCTGCTCACTAACACCCCCTCCCGCCCAGTGTTCATCACCTTCAAGGTGGAACCCGAGCGCACGACCGTGTACCAGGGCCACACTGCCCTGCTGCGCTGCGAGGCCCAGGGTGACCCCACGCCCCTCATCCAGTGGAAGGGCAAGGACCGCATCCTGGACCCCACCACACTGGGACCCAGGTAGAGTGCGCACCCCTTCCCAGCCTCGCCCGCCACTCCTGCAGCCCGCCTCAGGGAGCCGCAGGTGGGCAGCGCTGTGGCCTCTCTGCCGGCAGGATGCACATCTTCCAGAACGGCTCTCTGGTCATCCACAACGTGGCCCCGGAGGACTCGGGCCACTACACCTGCATCGCCGGTAACAGCTGCAACATTAAGCACAAGGAGGCCCCCCTCTACGTTGTGGGTATGGCCCGGGACGGGGATCCTGCACGGCAAGGGGTGGGGCCCGAGTTCTCACTTGGCTCTGTCCTGGCTGGGTCCTGTTCCTGGAAGGCTCTTCCATCTGTGTGGCAGGGGCAGGGGGGTGGTTAGCTGTACCCTCTCCACCTGCGACTGCACAGGCTCGTATTCTCTACAGAGAGCTGGGCTGTCCTCTTGGGAACATTCCGCAGTGGTGGCCTGCCTTCCAGGCCCCCTGACCCAATTGCACAGAGCCCTGGTGGGCTTCGTGAAGTGGCATTGGGGTACACAGGCAAAATGCTCTCCCCCTCCCTGCAGGCCCAGAGAGGGTGTTGCGTCCAGTGCCAGGCTTGAGGACCTGGGGCTGACTGCTCCTGCTGACCAGCTCTGTGCCCATGGGTGCTATTCCACCAGGGGCAGGGGCTGGTCTCTGCATCAGTGAGGTGGGGGTGTTCAGATGAGAGCCCCGCAGACCTCACGGGGTTAGCAGCATCACGGTTACCCTAGACCAAACAGGGCCAAGTTCTGAGTGGACAACAGCGAGGTGACAAGGCCCCTTGGCTGAGGCTGTTGGGGGTTCGGGAGTTGGGGACCCTGCCTGGTCTCCCCTTTGACCCCTCTCATTTCCTCAATGCCTGCTGGGCCCTCTCGAAGTATGACCCTATGGCTCCCAGACCAGAAGATCCCTGTCAATGCGTTAATGAAGGGGCCTGCTCTGTGTGGCCACAATCTGGGATTCCAAGGCAGAAGTTCCCCAGGGTTGCTCCCCGGGGCCCTCCTGACAGCGCTGGTTAGGAAGCCAGTGTGGGTTGGCGGTGGCGCCTGACAGGTGTCCCAGCCGGGTGTGGTGAGGCCCGGTCAGAGCTGCCATCTGGCCCTTGGCAGAGCCCGGTGAAGGTGGCTTAAGGTGGCGGTTGCCTCCCTGGCCCGTCTGCTGGGCTAGGCCATTGGAGTGTCTTGGACGTTTCCCAGGGTGTGGGGTGGGGAGGGTTGGTAGAGCAGTGGGCGCCTGCTGCCCCCGGCCCCCCCTCCCCAGCCCCTTCTGTGTGCTCTCAGACAAGCCGGTGCTGGAAGAGTCGGAGGGCCCAGGCAGCCCTCCGCCCTACAAGATGATCCAGACCATCGGGCTGTCGGTGGGCGCCGCCGTGGCCTACATCATCGCCGTGCTTGGCCTCATGTTCTACTGCAAGAAGCGCTGTCGGGCCAAGCGCCTGCAGAAGCAGCCTGAGGGCGAGGAGCCAGAGATGGCCTGTCTCAATGGTGAGCGCCAGCCTGGGGGGGGGGACGGGACACGTCAGCTGTAGGATGCGGGTGCTGACCGAGTCCCAGGGCTCTGGACTTCGCCCGGGGGTGGTGCAGGGACGCAGGCCCAGACTTCTGTTGCACCCTGTCTTTCCCCTTGTCCACCACCACCAGCCTGGGGCCCCCTGACCATCTCCAACAGCCAGAGGCGGGCCTGCCCCTCCATCATGAGACTCCCCTTTAGCCAGTGTAGGGTTCGGCACACAGGGGGCCCTGCATGGGTAAGGTGACCAGGCGTCCCGCTTTTTAACAATTTGTCCCGAATCCCTTGGTGTTTTAAAAAAGTCCCGATTTTTGGAAAGAATGTTCGACAAGCTAGGGAATGGCGAGAGAACAGGAAGACCAAATTTTTAATCAAGAACACCCTCTCCTACCCGACCCCGGTCAATGGTGCCCGCTTTACCAATGCTTTACCAGTGTTAAAATCTGGTCACCTTATGCATGGGCCGAGCTTGCCCCACGTCGGGTTGAAACCAGCTATATCCTGGGGGCCCTTCTTGTGGAGCAGCCGACCCCTGCGAATCCCAGGGAGGGCAGCTATGTCTCATGCACGTGGGTCCCCTTCGGAGGCAAAGGACACGCTGATGGCCACTGCTTTTAGGGAGAAAGGCGGGGCTTTCTACCCCGGTAGAGTTACAGTCTCAGAAACCCACAGAGGCAGTTGTACTCCACACTGCAGTGTCCCCGGGAGTGTGGAACGCCGTGATTGGGCCCACCCTGGCGAGAGGGAGAGGGGGAGGGGGAGAACCAAGGTCCCCGTGGTGACCCAAGTCTCAGCTTTCCTCTCAGCACACCCTGTGCCTCTTCTCCCAAGGTGGGCCTCTGCAGAACGGGCAGCCCTCAGCAGAGATCCAAGAAGACATGGCTGTTACCAGCCTGGGCTCCAGCCCAGCGGCCACCAATAGGCGCCACAGCACAAGCGACAAGATGCACTTCCCGAGGTCCAGCCTGCAGCCCATCACCACCCTGGGTATGTTGACTGGGCTACGGCTGCCCCTGCCGACCTCTGGGCCATCAGGGTGTCTGAGGCTGAGCCATGGCCGGCGACGGCCTTGAGTCCCTGAAATCTAGAATGTCCAGGCTGGAGGGGCACTTAGGCGAGAGCTCCCAGTCCAGGTGTCCCTGAGGCTTGGTCCTCGCCCACCTGCACAGGGTTTGTGATTCCCTGCGCTCCCTGGAAGGAGCCCGGCTGAGTGGGTATGCATCAGGCTGCACCCCACAAGGGCAGCCGTTGGAAAGACAGGGCTTTTCGCCCGTGAACAGGGGCCAGTTCTACCCGGTCCTCTCGGGTCTCCTGAAGTTGTCATTGATTCGATGGCAGTGAGTTTGTTCTGTGTACTACCTGTCGGGTAGTATTCACTTGATTTTTTTGTTTGTTTGAATTGGCTCCTTGGAACTTGGCTTCCTTAAATAAGGTTCGCTTCCCTCTAGGGAAATGGGAGCGTGAAGGTTCTGTGCTAGTTAAGGTTCTCCCCGGTACACAGTAGAACATGTAACTATTGATATGTTTACAATGTATCTATCTCCCCCACCCCCAATCTGGGGAAAAACCGAGTTTGGCAACTGTTACTCTGTGACTGTTAGATACCCGAGGGGGAGGGGGCAGGAGGTGGGAAAGAGTTAGCTCCTGGTCACAGTGCAGAACCAGGGCTCCTGCCCCGCCCCGGGTGGGGTGCAGCACTGGACCCCCCTGCTCACAGAGAGAGGCCAGGCTGCTCTGTCCCATGGCAGAGAGGGAGTGGCAGCCGCTGACTCCGCCCTGTGCCCGCAGGCAAGAGTGAGTTTGGGGAGGTGTTCCTGGCCAAGGCGCAGGGCCTGGAGGAGGGGGCGGCCGAGACCCTGGTGCTTGTGAAGAGCCTGCAGAGCCGGGAGGAGCAGCAGCAGCTGGACTTCCGCAGGGAGTTCGAGATGTTTGGGAAGCTGAACCACGCCAACGTGGTGCAGCTGCTGGGGTTGTGTCGGGAGGCCGAGCCCCACTACATGGTGCTGGAGTATGTGGACCTGGTATGTGGCCCCCCGGGGGCGGGGGGCAGGGACAAGGGGGGGCCTGGCACTGCAGAAACCTTGCCAAGGCTTTGGCCTGCTTGCGACACCTCACCTCGCACGCTGCCTCCCTGGCCATCCTCCCTGGGACATCAGAGGCTTGTCACACGTGTCCCTCCCCAGGGCTCACCGCTTCGTGGCTGTCGGCTTCCCGGAGCCGGCACCCCTTCCTCCCAGCACCCTGCTCCCCAGTGTTAGCCGCGTCAGCAGCCTTCTTCTCCACCCGGCTACCCTTTCCAGACCTCCCAGCCTCGCTCCCAGCCTCCTGGGTCCCCAGTGGCTGTGGGTCTGTCTCCTTCCCCAGCACTGGGGGCTGACGCTTCACCTCCCCGTTTCTGGTCCCGGTGAAATGCCCCGCGCATGACTTTGCTGCATTCCCCGTTCTTTTGTGTCCAGCTCCGGGAGGACAGATGTGCCAACCAACCCTGCTTGGAAAGCCGAATCCGGATTTCCTCTGGGGAGGGGGAGGGGGCCCATGCGTTCCTTTTGGCTTGCTGGGAGCAGGGCCTGGCATCCCACCTGCTGGGGGCTCCCCTGAGGGTGGGGGCAGCAGGCCTCCCTCCTTTCCTTTTGGTTTCTGCCCCCTGGGCTCTCCACCTGGGCAGGTGGGGGCCGCTCACCCCACGGTCTCCATGACCACCTGTTCGGTTTGAGGCTTTAGGGTCAGTGGGTGGCTCTGGACCGGTGGCGATACTTGCTTCTCCCGTAGGGCGACCTCAAACAGTTCCTGAGGATTTCCAAGAGCAAGGATGAGAAGCTGAAATCACAGCCCCTCAGCACCAAGCAAAAGGTAGGGGAGGCAGGTAACGGTCGGCACCAAACCAGCAACCAAACTCAGCGTCGTTGAGTCGGTGTCCACTCACAGCGACCCTAGCACCGGTTAGAGCGGCCCCCGTGAGTTTCTGGGAGGGCAGCCCTTTGCCAGAGCAGAGAGCCTCATGTCTCGCCTGCAGAGCGGCTGGTGGTTTCCAACTTCCAACCTTGTGGTTTGCAGCCCAACACGTCACCACGACACCTCTAGGCCAAGCGCTGGTATGAAAAAACAAACAGAAAATGCATTCTGACACCTAGCAACTGTACAGGGTTAGTTACCAAGGCTGCCCACCTTTACGGGAGCAGGCAGCCTCCTCTTTCTCCCTCAGAGAGGCATGTGGGTGTGTCCCACAGACCTTATGGTTAGCCACCCAAAGCCTAATGAATTCACGGCACCCCCGGGCGCCCTACATTCACTTGGTGCTTCCTGTGGGCCAGGTGAGCGCCTGACCGCAGGGACGACAATTACCCGCTGACCTCTGTGTTGTGGGTACCAACGAGTGGTGATGTGGGGACCAATGAGTGGATCCCAACTCTTAGGGACCTCGGGTGACAGAGTAGAGCGACTCTCCAGGGTTTTCCAGGCTCGGGGTCTTTTGCAGAAGCAGGTCACCAGCCCTATTCTCCGTCCCAGGGGCCAATCTTTCTGTTAACAGCCGAGCACGTTCCCACTGTACCCCAAGGCTCCTTGTCCCCTCTCTGTGGATGAAGAAACTGAGGCTGGAAAGGGCCTTGTGCTGCTGACTCCCAGTCCTGTGGAAAGAGGGTTCTTCACTGCCTCTGAGCCCAGCCAGCCACTTGCCAGCAGGCTGGGGGAGGGCATGCAGGCAGCCTAGGCCCCGGGTGGATGGGGCTGGGCTGGGCCTGCTCAGCTAGGCTGGATGTGACCCTGAGCATAAACTGCTGGAAATGAGCTTCCGGTTTCACCTTTTGTGGTTTTCTCACATTTGCTCTGGGACTGTGGGCTGCCGGCCTTTCCTTCCTGTTTCTGTTGCCTCTGGGGCAAAGGGTTGCTGTGTGCCCAGAGCCCGAGCTAAGGCTCTGAGGGTGGTGAGCAGGCCCAAGTGGGAACGTGGAAAGGGCAAAGCTGCTCTGCCCGGGGCAGCCAGCCAGCACCTTCTTGATGCCTGGCTGGCGCTCTTCCTGCAGGTGGCCCATGCCCAGGCCACTACCTCTCACCTGAATTGCATCCGTTTCCTCGGACAGTCTGCTTCTAGGCAGAAAAGCTGGGCAAAACTTGGGGGGGGGGGCAGGGAAACTCCAACAGCTAGGGTCCTCTCCTAGGTCACCCTTCTTTATCGTCCAGGCCAGGACCCTGAGGGCAGGCGGGGCAGGGAAGGGGGCAAGGCTATCTGATCTAACAGGAGACTGGCCCCTGGGCAGCCCTGGACCTCTCTGGGGGAGCAGCTTCATCTCCTTGGGGCCAGCTCCCTCCATTACAGGGACCTGGCCCCAGGTCACATGGCACCCCACGGTGGTGATAGGGTAGGGCCGGGACAAGAACTATGGGCAGTGACTGCCACTGTGAGCCACAGGCCAGGATGAGCTATTCCAGCTGTTGCAGGTGGGATTTCAGGTCCCTGGATGCCAAATCAGTCCGCAAATGTTGACTGAGCTGGGCCCAGCCCTCAGGGATTGAAGGGGACTGGCCAGCTATCCCGAAGGTCACCGTGATCCCCAGGCAGCAGGGGCATGCAGGCGGTTCCCAGTCCTGAGCCTGCCAGCCTGCAGGTGAGCAGGTAAGGTACCTGCAGTGACTGTCAACCACACACGGGAGGACGCAGCAGAGGTCTAGGAGGGTGGGCAGAGGGATGTGGCTAACACAGACGGTGGCCCATTGGATAAAGCCATTTGCTCTGAGTCCAGTTCTTAAGGAAAGGAAGTCGTTGAATGGCAGGAAGGGGCTGCTTGGGGTGGGGGTGGGGGGGATGTCACCGAGGGCTTCTCTGGCCCACAGGAAGTGGGGGAGTCCATTCGGCTGAGAGCCATCGCCATCTTTGCTAACAAATCCGCCCCACACTTAACGGCCATCGTTTCTGCAGTGGAACCGGGGGCCGTAGTAAGCAAGGTGGTTTCCATATTTCCTGAGGACAAATGCTGTTCTCTGGACCACGCTTCAGACCAAGGGAACCGGATGGATGCCCCCTGGGGCCTCCATCAGTCCGTCTAGTTGAGCCCCTTCCCCTTTTCTGCTGGCCCTCTACCCACCAGTCCCTCTTTCAGAGACTGACCTCTCTTGACCAAGTCTTACCACCCTGGCCTCGAAAAGGCATTCCGGTGGCTCTCTTCCAAGACAGACCTGTTTGTTCTTGGTCAGACCACGGGACTTTTCGAAATTTTTGCCAGCACCAAATTCATGCATCCATTCTTCTTCGGTCTTCCTTTTTCACTGTGTAACTCTCATATATCTATATCTATATATACACGGTGACTGAAAATACCATGGCTGGGGTCAGGCACACCTTAGTCCTCAAAATCACGTCCTTGATCTTCAACGCTTTAAATCAGCAGTTCTCAGCCCTGCTAATGCTACGACCCTTTCATACAGCTTCTCTTGGGGTGGTGACCCCCCAACCTTAACCTTATTTTCGTTGCTGCTGCATCACTGTGATTTTGCTACTGTTAAGAATCGGGTGACCGCTGTGAAAGGGTCATTCGGCTCCCAAGGGGGTCGCGACCCACCGGTTGAGAACCGCTGCTGCTTTAAAGAGAAGAGACGCTAGGTCTTTAGGGGAGCAGACAGCCTCATCTTTTCCCCCCAGAGCGGCTGAGGGAAAATGCCTCCCCACAGTGCCCCCAGTGCTCCTTAACACACACGTGCACAAAACTATTTGATGCATTCAGGTATTTCCTTTAACATAAAAAAACCCCCCACAGGGCCTGACCTTCTAAATTGCTCTGGACCTCATGGGTCTCAAACGCTTTGGGGGGTTTCTGAGAAACTGCAAATTCCCACAAAAGAGATGCTTGTCAGATTTTTTGGTGCCAGTAAGAGCTGCCCTATCACTTTGCATTCTGAGGGCCCTGGGTTGACAGAAGGTGGAAAAGTTACCTTTTTAACGGGAGGTGCAGTGGGCGGCCGATGCCCCTTGGCCAGCGGGAGCTGGGACGGGGATGCTGTGCTTGGTGGGGTGGGGTGCGGGAACCCCAGAAGGTTTCCAGAGTAGCAGTGGGATAGTGGCAGAAAGCAAAGACCCAGGCCCCGGCTGTTGCTGTCATTGTAGGTCACACCGTGAGAGCGGCTGAGGGGAGGGTGGAGGTTCTGAGGTCTCAGGGTTCCCAGTGTGCTCACTCCCTGGCGCACGGCTGAGCCGCAGCCCCTGCTGGCACACCTGGCACGCGGTGCCTCGTGCCCTCAGATGCCAGGCAGGAAACAACGCCTGTTGTGTGAGGAGCTCAGCAGTGTCACCATGGAGAACTTGGGCGAGCCCTTGGGGTGCTCAAATTGAGAAGGAAGGGGTGGGTCTGGTTCGAGTCTAACAGAATTCTCTTCCTCAGTCCTCCCTGCCCAGCCGGTCTTTCCAGAAGCACTGCCTCTCTGGAAACCCAGCCAGTTAATCCCCTGGCCACGTCCGCACGCTGCTCAGCCCTCGGCTGGCAGCAGGCTCTCTCTTTGGGAGCCTCCACGTGCCACCCAGGCACAACCAGGGGTTTTGACGCCTGTAGCAGGGTTGGCTCCGCTTAGGATGACCACTTCAGTGCCCTCTGGCTCTTCGCTCTCAGTGACATTTGAGGCAGGCTGAAGTGACGTTCGGGGGCAGTGCTCGAGAGCATGGAGCGTCACTCTGTCCTGGAGACAGGGGCTCAGTCACCGGGTAGATGGTCCGCAGATCCCTTTCTTGACTCTACGCGCCAAACGTATTTGGGTGGATGCTGTCCACAGATTTTGTGCCCTAAGTGTGTCCTTTTTACTAACTGATGGTGTCATTCATTCGGTACCCGTGCTTAATGCAGGGCCAGCCAGTGTATATAAGTACCACACACAGGCCCAGTCTGGTGGCGGGGGCCCATCAGCTGGGGACAGAAGAACCTCTGTCGAGATGGGGTGGGGATGGGATGTATCTATCCCCTAGTACAGCAGCCACTTGCGCCAGGCAGGTACTGAACACTCTGCTTCAGCGGTTCTCAACCTTCCTAATGCCATGATCCTTTCATACAGTTCCTCCTCTTGTGGTGACCCCCACAACCATAACATTATTTTCATCACTCATTTTGGTACTGTTAGGAATATCTGATAGGCAGGATGTATTTTCATTGTTACAAACGGAACATCATGAAAGCATAGTGATTCACCACAAAACAATATGTCATTGTAAACATGGTGTAGCATGGGTAACAGTCTTCACCCTGCGTACTCGTGTGTGGGCATATCTGCATGTGGATGGACCCATCTGGAGATGGATAGAGGAGCGGTGTCTCGGTTCTTAAGACCATCGGAAATAATGTGTTTTCCGATGGTCTTAGGCCACCCCTGTGAAAGGTTCGTCTAACTCTCAAAGGGGTCGAGAACCACAGGTTGAGAACCGCTGCTCTGCGTATTGGGCGCCATTGCGTTGGTCCTGCGGCATCCTGTTACTGATCTGTCTGAGCCTACTGTTGGCAGCCACTGTGACAACGCACGCCCTTGATCTTCTGTCTCACTGCCCTTGCGCATTCCCAAGCACAATGTCCTTCTCCAGGGACTGGACACACGTTCAAAGCACCTGGAAGTCTCGCTGCACTTCTGCCCCAGCCGATCTCTTTGTTGTCCTGGCTGTCTCGGTCCTTTCCACATTCTTCCCCAGCTCCGTCTGTCAGAGGCACCGGTGATTCTTCCACCTTCCCGATTCAGTGTCCCACTTTCCTGTGGACATTGGTCCAACACACAGTCGCTCTCACCACGACATCCTTCAGAATGGGGTCCTTATACGGAGGATATGCACCGTGCTGTGTGCCATCCGATCTCTTGGCTGCTGCTCCCATGAGCGTGGATTGTGGATCCAAGCAAGCGGAAATCCTCGAGGACTTTGGTCTCATCATCTTACCGTGAGGTTGTACCTATTTGGTCCAGTTGTGAGGATGAGCGTCTTCTTGACACGGAGCTGTAATCCATACGGAAGGCACCATCCCCAGTCCTCACCATCAGCCTGCAGTGCTGTGCCACCTGCAGCCAAACCTCACAGCTGAGGAAACCCGGTGGGGTAGCCCTCTGTGATAGTCTGGTACTTTAGAGAAACGAATCCACAGAAACTCATGTATAAGAGAGAGTTTTACATAAAGGTTAAGTGCACATCAAGAAAAATCCCAACCCAGTGCTGCCCAAGCCCACAAGTCCAACATTAACCCATATGTCCGATACCAATCCATAAAGTCCTCCTCCGTCGCATAAAACACACACTATGATGCTGACTGCAGGAGGAAAGCCGAATCAGTGAGCGTGTAAGCATCTCAGCGGTCGCAGGGGTCTCCACACAGCTGCTCCAGCACCCAGGGCTGCATCGGAGTAGGTACATGTGGCTTCTTCTCAGGGATGTCTTACAGGAAGTGAGTCTTGCCACCTGGAGCAAGGAACTGGCTAAGGCAGCAGCACCCTGGTCCGACCATCACAAAGCAAGAGACCCGAGAACTAGAAAGGCGAGGTTCACTGAGCCATCTATCCCTCCACCCTTCAATTAACCCTACATATGTTTATCGGCCAGGTCGCTACCTCACTCTCTCTGCCCTAAGAGGGCACCCCGAGTCACAATGGACTTTGGGGGAACAACAGCAGCAAACTTCATCCCACCAGCAGGTTGTGCCCCATGTTGAGAAAACCACCCGTGCAGTCCTGAGCCGGAGAAGCAGCTGCCCTTAGAACAGCGGTTCTCAACCTGTGGGTCTTGACCCCTTTGGGGGTCGAACGACCCTTTCACAGGTGTTGCCCAATTCATAACAGGAACTGTATTAAAGGGTCGCAGCCTTAGGAAGATTGAGAATCACTGCCTTAGAGCAACCCCACGTTCGGGCTCAGCCTACCAGCCTCGCTGTGACCTTGGGGCCAGGTCAGGGAGGCGTTTCTGAGCCAGCAAGGGGTGCTGAAGGGCTAGTTCTGTCTCCAGCAGCCCTACTTCTGGGCTTTTTTCCCTTCCCCTTTTTGAACCTGAGGAGCACAGAATTTGAACCATGAGTAAACATTCTCAACCCACGACCATCAGGGTGGTACTGACTCACAGCGACCCTTTGGGACAGGGTAGGGCTGGCCCTGTGTGTTTCCAAGACTAGTTCTTTATGGGAACAGAAAACCTCATCTTTTTTTGGCTCTTGGAGCCGCTGGTGGTATCGAACTGCTGACCTTATGGTTAGCAGCCCATCACATAACCCACTGGGCTACCAGGGTTCCCTGTATAACCACGAGGCATATCCTTCCTCCCTGCCCCCTCCCCTCCCGCCAGGACCATTTGCCGTCAGTTGGAGCCAGACTTGAACTCTGGCATTTGATTTTGAGTCTGTGGTCCCTCTGTGTCTCCATGTACAAATCAGTGTTGCTTGCCGGCGACATTAGTGTTTGGCTGCATTCCTGTCTTCACCCCTCTGTGACTGCACTAGGGGTGCGGTGGGGGTGGGTGGGACATAGGGGGCTGCCCCCAGGTGGATCCTGAGAAGTCTGTAGCCAAAGAAACACACCAGGGCCCGTAACGAGTTAAACCGCCCTCTACAGCAGTGGTTCTGAACCCAAAGGGGTTGTGACCCACAGGTTGAGAACCACTGCTCAACAGGTTACTACACTCTGCATCTCTGCCGCGTTGTTATTAGATCCATAGACGTGTCCCCGGCCACAGAGGGGAATGTCCCCGGTCAGCGGTCTTTCAAGCTCCCTGAGGCCTCTGGGCTGGGCCACACCTTGTCCGGTGGCACCTTGTCTGGGCACCCGCCTGGCCCCCCTCTCAGCAGGACTCTGCCTTGTCATAGTTCTTGGTCTGTTATGGGGCATGCAGTAAAGATAGAGTCATAGTTGTTCTGTGCATCAGCATATACCTTGAAAGGCCGATAGAGTTGAGTGGTGGTCATCTTGAGTAACTGTTTGCCACAGTAGAAAGCCTCACCTTTCTCCCGTGGTGCGGCTGATGGTTTTGAACTGCTGACCTCACCTTGAGGTTCGCAGCCTCATACGTAACCCATTTCTCCAGGGCTCCTCTCGGAAACCCACAGGGCCAGTTTAGCGGCTACGAGTTGGGCTGTGATCTAGGTGGTCGTCCGGTGAAACCACTCAGGACGGCGACTGGGCTTTTCCCTCCTGTCAACAGCTAGCATCTCCTAAACCTCCTGACTCGATCGTCGGCAGAGCGTCTGTGTTCTCGTCTGGGGAGCTTTTCTGTTTGGGTTTCACAGCTTAAAATAGCAGGCAGAGGTTGCCTCCCTTTCTCCACTCGACTGCTTACTTCCCTTCAGGCGCCAGCTCTGTGTGTAAACACTCACACGTGTATACACACACACACTGTATGTATAGCCAGGACTTCAAAGTGTTCGTGGAAAAATTCCATTAAAAAATCATTTTATCGGGGCCTCTTACAGCTCTTACACCGTTCCTTACATCAATTGTATATCAAGCATATTTGAACATGATGTGGCCACCATCATTTCCAAAACAATGTCCTTCTACTTGGGCCCTTGGTTTCAGCCCTTCTTTTCCCCCTCCCTTCCCCCACCTACCCAGCCACATGAATCCTTGATCAATTATATATTGTTTATATCATTTTGTATCTGTTGTCTCCCTTCACCCACATTTCTGTTATTCATCCCCTTTTGGGGGGGCTATATATCCAATCTTGTGATGGGTTTCCCCTTTCTCCCCCTTTCCTCTCCCCCACCATCCCCTACCCTCATGATAACGCTACTCCCACTGCTGTCCCTGAGGGTGTATCTGTCCTGAATCCCAGGTGTCGGGAGCTCTTCTCTGTACCAATGTGTGTTCCCTGGTCCAGCCAGATCTGTCAGGTAGAACTGGGTCATGGTAGTGGCGGGAGGAAGCATTCAGGAACTAGAGGAGTGTGTGTGTTTCATCGGTTCCATTCTCTTTTAATTTCAATTTCCCCACAAATCACTTGATACCCCACCCCATGCAGATGTATACATACCACACATTTATTTACACAAACTGCAAGATAAAGAATCTACAGGGAGGTGAGCTCTGCTGACTGACCGGTTTGTTTTCACTCAACACTCGGTCACTGTGTCCTCGGTCCCCACCCTCTGGGCCACTCCGGTAAGCTAGCCCTTTCTTTTTTTTCAATACTTTTATTGGGGGCTCGTACATCTCATCACAATCCATACATTCTTCCAACGTGTCAAGCACATTTGCACATATGGCGCCATCATTTTCAAACCATTCTCCTCCCACTGGAGCCTCTGATATCAGCTCCCCATTCCTTACCCCGCCCTCCCCAGCCCATCCTCCCTCACAACCCCTGATAAGTTATAGATTATTTTGTCCATTTCTTAATCGTCCTCCATTGCCCCTCACCCGCTTTTTCTATTTGTCCCTCTGGGAGGGAGTTCTAACCTAGCCCTTTCTGAGTGCCAGAGTTTACTGTAATCCCATCTGGTAGTGTACGGGTTATGCGCTGAACTGTGATCCTCATGGTCAGCAGTTCAAAACCAGCAGCAATTGCGAGGGAGAAAGACTGGGCTTTCTACTCCCTTTGAACGGGCATGGTCTCTGAAGCCCCCAGGGGGCCACTATGTGTCAGTTGGCTGGATGGCAATGAGTTTGGAGTTCAGGGACCCTCGGAGGCAGGTACCCTGGGAGCCACCCTGAGGTTGCCATGGTAACTCTGACTCGGGGCCTCCTGTGCATCCCACCGGACTTAGGACCCCACCAAGGGACATGTGGAGGGGAGGGTGGGTACCTTCTCCCCAGCCCTGGGAAGCCCTGACAAACACCTTTCTTCTCTCTAGGTGGCCCTGTGTACCCAGGTGGCCCTGGGCATGGAGCACCTGTCCAATAACCGCTTTGTACACAAGGATCTGGCCGCTCGAAACTGCCTGGTCAGCGCGCAGAGACAGGTGAAGGTGTCGGCCCTGGGGCTCAGCAAGGATGTGTACAACAGGTAGAAGCCGACCTTCCGGGAGCGGGGCGGGACAGCAGGGGCAGGGGCAGGTGCGGCTTAGTGCCTGCTTAACCCCAAAATGGAGGAGCCAGGAGGGACCAGAACCTTCTTGTCCTCTTTCTCAACGTGCAATGAAGGTGCTTCCAGCCCGTGGGCCCCAAGTCCCCAAAGCAGGCGCTCCAGGTTTCTCTGTTACTGTGACATGCCATCCAGCGGTGCTTGAGTAGAATTTCCCTAGAGTTTCCTGCCCTGTCATTTCTGTGAAACCAGGCTCCAGGCCTTTCGTCTTTAGACCCCGCTGGAGTAGCCTAGTACTAAGCCTGGCACCCCTCTTAACCACGCCCCCTGCCACAGAGGCAGCCCCACCTCATTGCCACCCCCCTGGTGGGACAGAGTAGAGCTGTTCCCTGGGGTTTCTGCCACTGTCAATGTTGACAGAAGCAGACAGCCTCATCCTTCCCTCGGAGCAGCTGGTGCATTAGAGCCTCTGACCTTGTGGTTGGGTAGCAGCTAGGTGTCTAGGCCGCAGCACCTGGTAGGACCTCCTACCCTTGTGCGTACATTTCGCTAACAATCTTCTCCTCTTTTGCTTGGTGCATTTCTTCTTGGTTGTCTGGCTTAATGTTAGCATTTAGCCAAAGTCTGGTTCTTAATGGAATCTCATAAACCATCCAGCCCTGTTTGGGAGTCTCCCCGTCTTCCCTGTACCCCGTGCTCAGCAGCAGCAGCAGCAGCAGTGTGCCCGCGAGTGCCCTGTAGAAAGGTCGTGCCCAAGCTCGGACCTGGGGTGAGGCTGGGGCCCCAAGCAGTGTCGCTCACCTCCCTCCCGTGTGGCTCTCTCCCGCAGTGAGTACTACCACTTCCGTCAGGCCTGCGTGCCCCTGCGCTGGATGTCCCCCGAGGCCCTCCTGGAGAGCGACTTCTCCACCAAGTCGGACGTCTGGGCCTTCGGTGTGCTCATGTGGGAGGTGTTCACCCACGGGGAGATGCCCCACGGTGGCCAGGCAGACGAGGACGTGCTGGCAGGTAGGCGCGTGGTTTCTCAGGGCCCCACCTCACAGGATGTCCAGGTGGAGGGCTTGCTCAGGACCCCGAGGCCGGTTCTGCCCGTCCACCAGCCCACCGTCCTCAGAGCTGGAATTCAGGTTGCAAATATGGCCAACCATGTGTTAACATACTGAAATACGTTCCTGTTGCTATGGGCTGTTGGGTCCATTCTAACTCGTAGAAGCCCTCTAGGGCACGGCCCCACAGAGTCTCCTAAGCTGTCCGCTTTTTCTCCACCAGAGTGGCTGGTGGGTTCAAACCACTGACCTCTTCATTAGCGGCCAAACACCTCAACCCTGGTGCCACCAGGGCTCCTTAAATACTTGGACCCTCCAGCCACTCCCATGCATTGGCTGGCTCCTGTGCCTGCTCAAGCCTTGCCCTGCCAGCCAGAGTGGACTGAGTGGCGGAGGTCATTGCCCTTCTTGGGCTCCTTGGGGCAGCGCCTCTGAGGCTCCCTCTCGTGGCTATTCTTAGGAACTGCGGGCTCCACAGAGTGGAGGATACATATTACATGTTGGCCTAACCGTCTTCCCTACAGATCTGCAGGCGGGGAAGACTAGACTCCCGCAGCCCGAGGGCTGTCCTTCCAAGCTGTACCGGCTGATGCAGCGGTGCTGGGCCCTCAGCCCAAAGGACCGGCCCTCCTTCAGCGAGATCGCCAACGCCCTGAGAGACAGCCCTGCCGACAGCAAGCCGTGAGGCAGGCGGCTGGCCAAGCTGTGCCTCAGGATGGCGTGGGCAGGGGAGGACCTCCAGAGGACTGCCTGCAGCATGATGGGATAGCTCCCCATCCTCTTCAGCCCGTGGGCCCCCTTGCCCTGCGCAATAGAAATTGTCGAGGCCTGGGCAGGGCCTGGGCTCCCTCTTCTTGCTCCCCCTCAGCACCCCCGGGAGATCTGATTCGGACCCAGACTAGGAGACCAGGGCCTTGGGATGGGCAGTTCTCTACCCTCCCACCCCCAATCAGGGCCAGTGTGGGTGCCTCAGGTAACCCTCTGTTTTTACCTGGGGACAGCTACTCTGGGAATGACCTACGTGTGGGAGGGAGTCCCTACACATATATACTCAAGTTCCTGGGTAGCTCTGGGCACACAGGGCCAAGGGGCCTTCTGGTACATGGCCCCCACCTCAGGTTCTCAGCCAGGACAGCGGAGAGCCCCACACCTGAGTCCTCCCACCATGGACTTGAGCACATGGGCCCAGGCCGGGCCTCCTCCTCCCGCCTCTCCTTCCCTCATCCTAAGTGCCTGGCAGATGAAGGCGATTTCAGGAGCTTTTGACACTATATAACCCGCCCTTTTTATACGCACCATGGGCTGCTTTTGTATGTAAACTGCAGTGTGGGGTGGGTGGGCATGGGAGGCAGGGGTGGGCCCGGAGGAAGGGCTGATAGCCCCTGCCTCACACTTTTATTGTTGTTGTTTTTGTTTGTTCATTTGGGTTTGTTTTGTTTGGTTTTTTTTCATTATTATTTTAACACCCGCTGCTCTCAATAAAGAAGCCTTTTGTACAACCTGCTTCTGAAGTTCATTCCCTGCCGTGGTCCCTTCTTTCTGCCCTCTCCATCAGAGAGGGCGCCATACCTCCGTGGACCGGACCAGCTGGTGGGCAACGGCCCAGCACTCTCTCCGGTGGGAGGAGCCGTGGAGATTGAGGGCTGGCAGGAGGCTAGGCTCTCTCCTGCCCTGTTGTCGCTCACTGATGCCCACTGCCTGTTCCCTGCGCCGAACTGGCCTCACCCTCCTGTCAGAAATGTGAGGAGACATCCGGGGGAGAAGGGGTTAATGGCAGACCATCTTTTGAGTCCCTTTAAGACTCCAGGAAGGAGCGGAGTAAGCAGGTGTAAGCTAATACTTTCATGTCACCTTCCTCAGGGCTGCTCAGCCCTCTGCTGCTCTCCAGGAACTCAGCGCCCCCACCCCACACCCAGTCTAAAGATAGGACTCCTCGGGGAGGCGGTGGGGGGAAGGAGGAGCTGATGCCAGGGGCTTAAGTGGAGAGCAAATGTTTTGAGAATGATGAGGGCAACGAATGTACAGATGTGCTTCACAGAGTTGATGTATGTATGGATTGTGATAAGAGTTGTATGAGCCCCAGTAAAATGAATAAAGAAAGAAAGAAATGACTCCTCACCTCTAAGACTGTGCCAGTTCCTCCCAGGCTGGACCAGAATCCTCAGTAACCACAGGGCTGGTTCTCCAGCACGCACTCTGGACCTGCCACGTGCTGGGGGCTTAGTAGGGAACCCCTCATTTCATCCCTGCAACTGCTTTCTTAGCCAGAGGGGGGGTATTCACATTTCACAGACTAGGCAATGGAGGCTCCGAGAGGTCAAGGAGCTTGCCCCAGATCACACAGCTAGCAATTGAATTGTGTGTGTTGGGGGGCAGTGGTGGTGGCAGGAATTGCAACCAGTATTAAAAAAAAAAAAAAAGACAACATAGAAACTACCACTGCACTTGTACTATCAGGGTAATTGAATACTGTTGCCTTGCAAGATTTTGTTATGTTTGATACAAGTATCTGGAATAGTAGAGGCTCTGAGTGGCAGGTAAATGTTAGGAGCCACTTAGTTGGTTACACAAGGTCAGTCTCTGAGCCCACCAGTCCAAAGATGAGGCTGTCTACTCCAGTCCAAAGATGAGGCTGGCAAGATTTACAGTTTGGCAACTCAGCGGGTGTCTGCCCTACAGGGTGGCTAGGAACCAGAACTCACTTGATGCCAGTGTTTGTTTGGGGGGTTTGCATACCGTATGGCGTTATCAGTTAGTCAACTCTTAGGTAGTGATGCCGCCTGGGAACTTCAAGATCAGTGGCTTACGACAGCCATGTTACTCTGTTCTCCCCCAGCGACTGCCAGGCTGGCAAGGGCTGGCTGACCAGGGCTGGCCCTGGCGGCCTTCAGCTGGCTTAGGTCTCTTGAGTAGCGGCAGAAGCACAAGAGGTCAAGCCACGGCACATGCAACCACGTGAGAACCGCAAGCCTGTTAACATGTCACTGGCCAATCACATGGTGAAGCCCGCATCAAGTGCGGTGGGAAAATCCCTGCAGCACCATGGTGAAGTATGCCTGAAAGAATTCCAACAGGGTTGGCTGTGGTGTTGGGATCAACCATCTAATGGACCCGAGGTGTGGTCTAAGAAGAATTTTTTTAAAAAAAACATTTTATTGGGGGCTCGTACAATACTTATCACAATGCATCCATCCATCCATTGTGTCAAGCACATTTATACATTTGTTGTCATCATCTTCAAAACATTTTTCTACTTGAGCCCTTGGTACCAGCTTCTTATTTTTTCCCCTCCCTCCCTCATGAACCCTTGGTAATTTATAAATTATTATTATTTTTACATGTCTTACACTGCGATGTTTCCTTTCACCCACTTTTCGGTTGTCCATCCCCCTGGGGGGGCGGTTATAGGTAGATCATTGTGTTTGGCTCCCCCTCTTTCCCTTACCTTCCCTTTACCCTCCTGGTATGGCTACTCACAGTATTGGTCCCAAGGAGTCATCTGTCCTGGATTCCCTGTGTTTCCAGTTCCTATCTGTACCAGTGTACATCCCTGGTCTAGCCAGATTTGTAAGGTAGAATTGGGATCATGATAGTGGGGGAGGGGAGAGGAAGCATTTAAGAACGAGGACAGTTGTATATTTCATTGTTGCTATACTGCAACCTGACTGAGATGTCCAGTTGCCTACAGATGGGCTTTGGGTCTCCACTCCACACTCCCCCCTCATTCACAATGATGTGATTTTTTTTTTGTTCTGGGTCTTTGATGCCTGATACCTGATCCTATCGACACCTCATGATCACACAGGCTGGTGTGCTGCTTCTGCGTGGGCTTTGTTGCTTCCCTGCTAGATGACTGTTTACCTTCAAGCCTTTAAGACCCCAAACGCTCTATCTCTTGATAGCCGGGGCACCATCAGCTTTCTTCACCACATTTGCTTACGCACTCACTTTGTCTTCCGTGATCATGTCGGGAAGGTGAGCATCATGGAACACCAGTTTAATAGAACAAATTGTTCTTGCGTTGAGGGTGTCCTTTTGAATCGAGGCCCAATGCCCATCTGCTACCTTAATGCTAAACCTATAAATATCTGGACATAGATCTATTTCCCCATAGTCATATATAACATATTTACATATGTGCATGCCTGTACTTAGACCTCTATAAATGCCCTAAAAAGGAATTCTTACTGAGAGTCGTGCTAAAAAAAACAAACAAAACTCCCTTGCAGACACCACTGGAGGGCCTTAATCACGGAATCCCCTCTGCACGTTTGACCGGACACTGCAGTAACCAGCCTTGTTTGGCCTCATTGCCCGTTTAAGCTCCAGTCTCTGGGCTGGCAGAGTGGTGCCACCCTCCAGATTCCCAGCCTGTTTCTTCTCCTTGCCTGGCGAAGGCCTTCCTCTCCTCTTACTGACCCAGCTCTATATGTTTCGGAGCAGAACGGTCCCGCAGGATTTTCTTGGACGTGACCTTGACAACAGCAGATGGCCAGACCTTTCTTCCATGGTTGGCGGTGTGTTCAAATGGTCAGCTTCACAGCAACAGTCCGGCGCAACTGCCCGCAGCACTCAAAAAGATGGCTCTTCTCCTAAGATTCACCTCGTGGCCTTCCCACCCTGGAAACTCATCCTAAGTGGCTGGAACTCGCCCTTCAGGGAGGATGGAGCCCTGGTGTGGTGGTGACACGGGGCAGCTAACCCCATGGTCAGGAGAAAGATGAGGCTTCTAAGTCCCATAAAAAGCTATCGCCTGAGAAACCCACAGGGACAGTTCTACCCTGTCCCACATGGTCGCTGTGCGCCGGGGTCAACTTTATGGCAGTGAGTTTGGGCTCAGTGTGGACCATTTCCGAAGTGCAATTCCGATTCCAGCCTCTACGGCCAGCTCTAAACCCACTCTTAGGGGACTTTTCCCTCTGCTCTCCTCCCCAGGGCCTGGGGGCCCTGTTGGGGAAGCAGCGTTGGGCTGTTGACCACAAGGTGGAGAGTTCCACCCCCAGCAGCTCTGCCAGAGAAAGAGGAGACCATGCTCCTATAAAGATCTTTCTCCTGGGAAATCCTACACGGGTTGAGTCAGAATTGCCACGAGTGGTACACACATGTTTTCTCTCTCCCAAGCCTGTTCCTCCAAGCCCCCCACCCCCACCCGTTCCCATTCATGGGGCTGCTGTTTGGGCAACCGCCACTCTCGTTCAAACATCCTAGTTCATCTGAGCCCGGTCCGCTCCTCCCCTTGCCGCACAGCCAGTCAGCAAGGCTCTGGGGTCGCCCTTGGATCTGGTTCTGCTTTTGCTTCCCTGTTAGGGGGAAGTGGATATAGGACCGATGAGGATCGGGGACACAGCAAATGGTTCAGGCTCATGTAAAGCAAAACATTCCGTCCTCCCGCCTCCCCCTTCCCTTTCAGAGGTAAGCACTATCAGCATTTAGAAAGCGACGCTCCAGACTCATCCTGGGCACGCTGGCTCACCCTGCAGTTCCGTTCCCCTCCCTCTGATACGGCCTCACCAAGGCCCTCTTTGGGATGAGCCTGCCGGGCCTCTACCCTTCTGACTCGGACCTCTGCTCCTTACATCACTCAGCAGACATTTATGGAGTACCTGTTAGTGCTGGGGGCTGGGGACCCAGGGGTGATTAAATCAGACAGGCCCTCTCCACTGGCCTCAGGTCACTGCCAAATTACATGTCCTACAGCACACACCTGATCACATCGCTCACTCACGACACAGTCGGTGACACCCCCACCCCCCAGCCCACACAAGCCTCTCTGCTCCCATCACTCCTCTTGGATCTGGTTCTGTACTAGGAGCTCAACAAGCACTTACTAAGCACCCAAGAGAAGGCCAACTGGAATAAGAGGCACAAGAACTGCGTGGTCTTCCTGCCCCCTAGCTGGGTGCCAGTGGGAGTGCCACCTCTCCCAGACTCCCCTGGGTGCCCAGTACAAGGAGGGGGTGGGGACTTCTGCTGTTCCTTCGGAGTTTTCAGTTAGGGGTGGATGGAGCTCTGAGGTGACTAGCCGGCCATGGGGCATTCGGTGAAACAGCAGCAGCCTGGCTGTGAATTCTCCCCTAAGCAGGTTTTCCTCTGGCTGGGGGAAGTAGAGTCAGGCAAGGTGCTGAGCTAAACAACTGCGTTTTGTTATGTAGCCGGAGATTAGAGAAGCTGTGGGGGCGGGACAATCTCCGGGTGGTCTTGAAGCTTCCAGTGCCCTTGCTTCTCTAACTGATCCGAGCTGGCTTGTGAACGTGCACTAAGCACCCTTTAGGTAGGTGCGGGATGTTGACAATTGTAAGCACGGTTCTTGGGCCCAGAGTGTTGTCCATGGGGCTAAGGGACACTTCTGGCACCCTCAGGATATCTCGGGCAAGAGAGAGGACAAAAGCAAAGCAAAAAGAAAAGAAAGATAAGGGGTAAACCAAAGTCTTTAAAGATGCAGAAGGGAATGATTTCCTAGGTCGGACCCCCGAGGACAAGCCACCAAAGGACACAGAGATCTAAATGGCACCTAAGCGAACTGGAGCTGTTTTTTTACGCGTCAAAGGAAACCATGTTTTGGTTTACATGAGCCTGAACCATTTGCTTGGTCCCCAATCCTCATTGGTCGTCCTATATCCGCTTCCCCCTAATGGTGAAGCAGAAGCCGAATTAGATCCCAGGGCAACTCCGTGAGCCTTTGGTGACTGGCTGTGGGGGAGGGGAAGAGTGGACCAGGCTGGGCATGAACTAGGATGTTTGAAGGAGGGTGGAGCCAGGATTTGCAAATCAGGATCCGAGATGGGATGCATAAAGTACTGCTAACCCACAGTTTCCGTGTTGATTGTACGGGAAAGAGAGAATTGCCCCCCTGGGTTTCTGAGGCTGTTTTTCTGTATGGAAGCACACTGTCCCATCTTTCTCACAAGCAGGGGAGCTGTTCGTGGGTTCAAATCACTGACAGGCTGGCAGACAAGTACCCCAAACAGTCTTCATGTACCTTTGATGAGTCTGAAAGTCACACACCACCACCACCCCCCCAAAAAAAGAAAGAAAAAGCCAAATTCACTTCCATCTAGTCAATGCTGACTCACAGCGACCCTCCAGGGGAGGGCAGCTCCTTGTGAGAGGAGGAGCCTCATCTTTCTCACTTGGAACTGCTGGTGGATTCAAACCATGCATGGCACCAGGGCTCCTTGGTTAAACCTAGAGTCACGTCAGAGGCCCAGTAGGAATGAGATGCTAGGGTGGGATTGCTCCCCACGCCAAAAACACATCCCAAGCATGACTTGCCGCCTCCCAAACCCTTCCAGGACCCATTTCTCATTTTGACGTGTTCTGCCTCATGAGCTAACACAGTCCATATGTTCAACTACCTATCACAGAGAGCAAGTTAGGAGAAGAGGAAACAAAAACTTGAAAATCAGGCATTTGATGAAAAGCGTATTAAATCATCCCTATACATTTGTGAGACAACTCATTTACTTAGGTCTTGATTCCACAGATCCCTTGAACATTATACTGGTCTTTCTCACAGTCTTTGGGCTGTGAATCACAGTAAGCTACATACGTAGGAAATGGGCAGTATTCCATCATTTGGGCTGATAAGATGGCAATTTCACAGAGCTCCACCAGTGCCACAATACTTCCCTTGGTTTTCTGATGATAGGCACTTACTGACTTGTATCCGCTTGAACCCTGGTGAGCAACACCGAAACTGATTTCACCACCACTCATGGGAAGAGCTTTGGCAGTGCACACGTTAAGCACGCAACTAGCTCACCAAAAGGTGGGCTGTGAATCCATTCAGGGGCTCCCTGAGAGAAAGACCTAGTGGCCAGTTCCCAGAAAAATCTCATGGGGCAGTTCTGCATTGACACATAGGGTCACGAAGAGTCAAAATTCGACTCTATGACTTCTAACAGCAACCTGAGCCCCTGGGGTGTGCAAAAAGTCAATGCACTCCAATAGGCTACTTACCAAAAGGTTAAATAAAAGCACAGAGGAAGAAAGACCTGGTGGATATATGTTTGGAAATTCAGCCACTGAAAACTATGGGATGCATTTGTGCTCTGACACATTCCATAGAAACTGGTGACAAGCAGTCATTTGAAAAACAAACTGCTATGTAGGAGCCCCCAATAAAAGTAGTTTTTTAAAAGTCCTTATTATTACCCTGGGCCCAATGAACTTACTTTGTGAAGATATGCATGCAGGCTAGTTTGTAGACAAAGAAAGTATATACATCAAATAAATATGTGCTTTTTCAGAAAATTATAAAAGAAAAAAGAAAAAGAAAAGCAAGCTGCTTTATCTAATTTCCAGGGGAAAAAAGACGAGGCTCTCTACTCTCAAAAAGTTATAGTCTGCAGGGGGAAAATGAGGAGCTGATATTAAGGGCTCAAGTAGAAAGAAAAGATTTTGAAAATGATGGCAACATATGTACAAATAGCTTGGTACAATGGATGTATGCATGGAATGTGGTAAGAGCTGTAAGAGCCCCCAATAAAATGATTTTTAAAAAAAAGTTCTAGTCTCAGAAGCTTACAGGGGCAGTTCTACCCTGTCCTATAGAGTCACTGTGAGTCAGAATTGAATTGGTGACAATGAGTTTGGAGGTTAACAAAATTAATCTCTACAATTTTTCAGGCAGAAATCATCACCATCTTCCATCGAACTGTTTACACACCTGAGTGACTTAGCCCAGGTAGTTCCTGTGCTGTTCTCTGACCCATTAGTGGTTAAGAGTTTAGCTAACTGAAAGGCAGGCAGTTTTAATCCATCAGCAGCAACGTGAAAGAAAGATGTGGTAGCTTGCTCCCCTGAAAATTATACATCACCTTGGCAACCTCATAGTGCATTTCTCCCTGCCCTCTAGGGTTCATGCGTCAGAACTCACGAATCTTTATCTGAGTTAGCGTAAGAACCTCACGAAGTGGGTGGGCACCATGTTCTAAGAATGTGGAATTTGGGGAACTCAAGTTACTTTTTCTGCCACGGAGCTAAGACCCAGCCCCAGCCCCAGACGCAGGGCTTCTTACCAGAGACTTGAACTTTGTAACATCTCAGTTTTGACTTATTTTTCTCATATGGACTATCTTTGTCTTACGTTGTGTGTGTGTGTGTGTGTGTGTTCCCGCACTTGTGCTATAAACTTGACCATAGCGAATGAACTGGATGGCAGAGTGTGTTTGGGGTTTTTCTGGTGTCTCAGGCCTTGGTGCAGGCTGCGGGGTGGGCTTTATCTTCCCAGGGCCCCCTCCCCCGAGCCCAGCCTGCAGCTGCAAGTCTTCACTGAGCTCCACTTCGCCTCCCTGCCCCCATCGGGGACGTGGAGGCGACTGTCTCGCCAGGCCCTTTCCAGATGTACCTCTGCCAAAGACGCCCCAGTGCAGGGGATGATGGATGGGAACTGGGGAGCAGGCCTAGTGGGAAAGTGTCGTCGCCATGAAAAGCGAGGAAGAGGGAACGGGAAAGGAAGTCGGGGTGGGAGGGGGGAGGGAAGGAAGGATTGGAGTGGGGCGGCGGGGTCGCGCCGAATCTGGACACAGGACCCAATCCCCTCGGTTCGCCAGGAAGTGTGTCCCCCTCAGAAAGGAGTGGGGAATGCTCAACCCCCGCACTCCTTCCTGGGGCTCTGGGCTGTATTTTCTCATTTACTCCAACCCCCACCATATCCCTTCCCGGTGTTGCGCCTTCGCGTCCGCTAAAACTACACTTGAGTTTTCCCCGGGGCTTCCACTCTGGAAGTCCCTCTCAATTCTCGCCACCATTCTCTACTTCTGGGGGGCGGAGTCGCACCTCCTCTCCTGTTCCTTTAAGAGGCGTCGGCTCCTCCCCTTTCGGAGTCGCCGTCTGACGCGAGGTGACAGCAGCGAGTTCGGTATGTCTATGCAAATAAGAGCCCCCTGCGGACCAATGGAAAGCGGAGGTGCCGGAACCACGGACCAATACGGCGGGGGCACTGGGGCTCACCATATAAGGAGCGGCCTCGCCATAAAAGGAAACATTGTATCTCTTTATATGGGGGGAAGGGTCGGGGGATCCCTCCGCCGCCAGCGCGTGGTCGCGGCCCCCTCCACCCGCCGTCTCGGCCGCGGCCAGCAGCCCCTGCCCCCCGGGGGACGCTGACGGCCGCCGGGCGCGCCGCCCGAGCACACGGACAGGGGGCGCTGCGCGCGGCCTGGGGTAACCCGGGCCACAGGGGCAGGAAAGTGAGGGCCCAGGTCGGCCCGGGTGTGCAGGGGCCCCGGCTTCGCTGCGGCGGCGGCAGCTGCTACAGCGAGAGCTGCATTGGGAGCAGCGGGAGCGCCAGGGGGAGCCGCGAAGCCGATGGAGGCAGCGGCGGCTCCGATTCCTCGCTGAGCGCCCGTCCTCCCGTCTGCATTGAGCGCCATGTTACCGAGCCAAGCTGGGGCCGCGGCAGCGCTGGGCCGGGGCTCGGCCCTGGGGGGCAGCCTGAACCGGACCGCGACGGGACGGCCGGGCAGCGGCGGCGGCGGGACTCGCGGGGCTAACGGGGCCCGGGGGCCCGGGAACGGCGCGGGGCTCGGGCCAGGCCGCCTGGACCGGGAGGCTGCAGCGGCGGCGGCCAGCACCCCGGCGCCCGCCGCGGGGGCCCTGTACAGCGGCAGCGAGGGCGACTCCGAGTCGGGCGAAGAGGAGGAGCTGGGCGCCGAGCGGCGCGGCCTGAAGCGGAGCCTCAGCGAGATGGAGCTCGGCGTCGTGGTCGGTGGGCCCGAGGCGTCGGCCGCGGCCACCGGGGGTTACGGGCCGGTGAGCGGCGCGGTGAGCGGGGCTAAGCCGGGTAAGAAGACCCGGGGCCGCGTGAAGATCAAGATGGAGTTCATCGACAACAAGCTGCGGCGCTACACGACCTTCAGCAAGAGGAAGACGGGCATCATGAAGAAGGTACCGGACGGGGAGGCCGGCCGGCCGGCCGCGGGGGATCGAGGAGGGGTGGGGACGTGCTGGGGGAGCCCGGGAGGAAGGCTACGCCGAGGGGGCCAGGCGAGGCGGAGGACCGGTCCGCAGGAGGTGTGTGGGAGGAGACGGCTGTTACCGGAGTCGGGCGAAAGGGGAGGGGCTGTCAGCGAAATGTGGGGAGAGGGGAGATGCTGCGGGAGCCTGGGAAAGAGGGGAACCCAGGCGCAGAGGTGGGAGTGACCGGCGGAGGGACGAAGGGGGCCCTAGCGGAGTGAATGGGGCCGGGAGAAGGCTGCGAGGCATCTCATGAGACACGAGGGTCAGTGGGTTCAGGACAGGAAGGTGGAGAGGCTGGAGCCGAGTGGGTAGCTGTAATGTTTCCACCTGGCCAGCCTGGGGGAGGAAGGTGGGCACCCCTGGAGTAGTGCTGGGTGGGAGGGCTGGCAGGGCGGGAACCCGACGGACTCCAGGGGCCTCCGTGAGGCACTAAGGGCGGGAGGACTGGTGTTGCCCAGAGCAGCGGGGACCAAGCCCCCCGCCGGGATCATGTGCCTTACATGCTTTTGGTGGGACAGGCCGTGGAACTAGGGGGTTTGCAGTCCCAGAGGGAATCTACGCAGCGCTCTGCTTAGGATAAAAGCAGGGGGGTTTGCAGAGATATTGACAAAGCCCACTCCTGCCAGTCGGTTCCCCAGTGGAGAGAAGCGAACAGAGGAGGCCTCTTGGGGTATTTAGAAGGGAAGGGACAGAGGCTGAGAAGCCGGCAACTCAGAAGCTAGAATCTTTGGCGCATTGATGTTGCTATCTGTACTACAGAGAAACCCCAAGCAGTCCCCAAGGGGGGGTGTGGGACTTTGTTGGGAACGGGGTTGACCTCCATGAGGGCCTCCTTGAGGTCTCCCTGTGTTCGTGGGATGGAAGTGCTAATCCAGGCTCCATCCCCCAACACTGCTGTTATCAGTGCCCCTGTGGCTTGCTCTTGGGGGGGGGGGCTGATGGAAGAGTGTCTTTGCCTCTTTTACCTACCCCCCTCTCATGGCAAAGAAAGAAAAAAGGGTAATACGGTATTACAGAGCAAGTGAGGCCACAACAGGTTAGGGCCTGTTGCAGTTTCTAGAAAGAAACATGGGACAGTTTGGAGCTTGGGTGGCCCCTTATCCCTGGTATGACGCCATCCTGGGTCCTGTGACACTGGAGGGAGTGGGAGCCCCCTCCCATGATTCCCAGAGCTGTGATGGGGAGCAGCTAACTGGACCCCTCTGGGTTACCTGAGGTCAGATGTTCAGTCACCAAGGGGCTGGGCCTTTTTTTTTTTTTTTTTTGCTTCAGGTATCTGCAGTTTGGTGGTACGCCTCAAACAAGGGGTCCTTTTGCTGCGCCCCAGCCCACCCCCTCTGGCGTCCTAGTAGGACCCTAGAGTCGTTGGAAAGGAAGGTCATTATGGGAGTTGAGGCTTGAGGTCGGTCACTGTATTTTCTCTCTTGGCTGCTTCTCAAGGAAGGTAGAAGGAGAAAGTAATGCTTGACATGCCCTCTCTCCCGTCCCTCCCCTTCCAGGCCTACGAACTGTCCACGCTCACAGGGACACAGGTGCTGTTGCTGGTGGCCAGCGAGACAGGCCATGTGTACACCTTTGCCACCCGAAAACTGCAGCCCATGATCACCAGCGAGACTGGCAAGGCGCTGATTCAGACCTGCCTCAACTCGCCAGACTCTCCGCCCCGCTCAGACCCCACCACCGACCAGAGAATGAGTGCCACGGGCTTTGAGGAGACCGACCTCACCTACCAGGTGTCCGAGTCCGACAGTAGTGGGGAAACCAAGGTGGGTCGCCTACCCCAGGGCAGAGGAGGGGGTGGGGGGTGGGGCAGGGGACAGGGGAGGGAGGGAGCCCCTCGCCCTCTCTCACGCAGGATTAGGTGCTCCCAGATGTGGTTGGGTACTAGTGCCCTTGGCCCTCCCGGGAGGTGAGGGAGTGGGGGGACAGGTGTTCATCCTCGCCATCCTGACAGGAGGCCGGCCCCCTAGATAAGCAAGCGGCCTCCGTGCCCATATAAGGCCGGCTCCGGCTCCAGCCGGCCTCCCGCCCGCAGCCCGCCCGCCTGGCAGAGCCCTCGCATTCCTCCAGCCAGCTGTCTCCCCGCCGGGGTGGGGGCGTAGCTGAGCCCTGCCCTCCCCACGTGGGGCAGCCCTGGAGTCGGAGGGGGAATGTTCTAGGGTCCCAGGGTCCTGGGAACCCCAGACTCTCGGCGGGCTGGCTGGCTGGGCCCGAGACTACCTTACTAATCAGCCGCCTAACCCCTCAGGATGTCCGGGCCTGGGCATGTTAGGGAGTGCATTCGCCCGCCCGCCGCTGCGCTGCCGGCCCTAGTTAACGCCTCCCCCTTCCTTTTCCCGGTAAGGAGAGGGGGTGGGGTTTCCGCCCTTGTTCCTCTTGGGAAGCTCCACCTTCTGGGTGCTGCAACTAACTGGCCAATCAGAGGAAGCATCACTGTTTGCCTTAGCAACGCCGCCGCCAATCAGGGGCCTCAAGCCCGGATGCTTAGCAAATACGCCTCGGTGTCCCACCCCAACTCCCTGTCTTTTGAGTCCCTAGCTCAGCTCTAGACTTCCTCCCCATCTGAGAAGAGACTCCCGGAAGGAAGAGAGAGACTGCTTTAGGCGCCTCCTTCCCGGAGTAGCTCAGCATGCGTAAGAATTTTCAAACCCCGTTAGCACTCAAGCTCTTGCTTTCCCAGGAAACTGCTGGATGAATGCGCTCCTTTGGTAGCTGAAATCTTTAAAAGTTTTTTTTGGCCATAAAGGACTCCCTGCCAAACCCCAGCTCTCTCTCAAACCCCGAGCGTTCTGAAAAACCGCTATGTCCCTCCTCGAAGCTTGGTAAATCAGAACTGGAAGGACTTGTAGCCCAACTCCCTCCTCAATGGGAACACTGACACTCAGAGAGAGGACCAAGGCCAGCCCCACACAGAGGGTCCCTATCCGACCTAGGACAGACCTGGGGTGTCCTGTCTTAGCCAGGGGGATTACCACCGTGTGCAGGGGATGCTGCCGCCGCTGACCAGCCGATACATACACAGCCCTTCTACAGGCCAGGCGCTTTCCATGGGTTCCATACTGACAGACCCAAGACATGTGTCTCATCCCTTATGACACTTAGTTGATGGGAGCTCAGGGGCTCCGTTACCGTGCCCTGAGGTAAATGCAGCAGCTAAACAGTGGGACTGGGATCGGAACCCAGGCAGTAGGCTCCAGAGCCTGGTCTCCCAGGCTTCTGTAGGGGCGAGCTCTGGTCGAGGCTCACTGGGCTGCCATCTTTACTCTGGTGCAGGACACGCTGAAGCCGGCATTCACAGTCACCAACCTGCCGGGGACCACCTCTACCATCCAAACAGCACCCAGCACCTCCACCACCATGCAAGTCAGCAGCGGCCCCTCCTTCCCCATCACTAACTACCTGGCACCAGTGTCTGCTAGCGTCAGCCCCAGCGCGGTCAGCAGTGCCAACGGGACTGTACTGAAGAGTACAGGCAGTGGCCCTGTCTCGACCTCTGGGGGCCTCATGCAGCTGCCCACCAGCTTCACTCTCATGCCTGGTGAGTCACAGGGCCAGGGAGAGATCCCGCCTCCCTGGGGAACATAGAGCATGTTCAGAGTGGGTTTAGAATTGGCACAAGGAGAGCTTCTCTTTGATCTGGAGGGAACCAAACAGGTCGGAGCCCGAGAGCAGCCTCCCATGGCCTGTTGGCAGGCATGTCCTTGAGAACCCCTGTTAGCATTTTCAGCCACAGGCCACAGGGACAGGAGACATTCCCTACCTCAAGGGGAGAGCACATTCTGTTCTTGATGGGTCAGTAGCTCCCGGGTCAGCTGAGGGGCGGGCAGAGGGGGTGGTGTGGTATGGAGACAAGCCTGGGGTATGTGAAGGAGGGAAGGCAAGAGTAGAGAGTGGAAGCCTCCAGAGGCGAGATTCAAGAAATGAAGGGTCTCTTTGGCTCCCAGGAAAAATAGTATGTATTAGAGTTGAGTACCAAGGTGCCACGTCCAGAGCTTGGGTGGGTGGGAGGGGGCAGGTGTGTGTGTGTCTGTGTGTACTTGCTTGCTACAGGTAGTGGCTGAGGAGGGCCAAACCTGAGCGAGTCTCTGGGCTGAATTTCAGGTGGAGCAGTGGCCCAGCAGGTCCCTGTGCAGGCTATTCAGGTGCACCAGGCCCCGCAGCAAGCGTCTCCCTCTCGAGACAGCAACACAGATCTCACGCAGACCTCCTCCAGCGGCACAGGTATAGCTGGGAGCCCGTCACCTTCCCTTTCCCATCCTCCATTAGGGCAGAGGATTCCTTAGAGCAGTGGTTCTCAACCTTCCTAATGCTGTGACCCTTTTATACAGTTCCTCATGTGGTAGTGACCCCCAACCATCAAATTACTTTAGTTGCCACTTCATAACTGTCATTTTGCTGCTGTTATGAATTGGGCAACCCCTGTGAAAGGCTCATTCGACCCCACAGGGGTTGAGACTCACAGATTGAGAACCACTGCCTTAGATGCTGCAGCTTTTGCACTAACCCTGGTGGGAAAGTCAGGTAAGGCTGGCTGAGTTTGGAATCCTGCCCTGTAATCGGGCTGTCACTTTTATAAGACAATTAGGAAGTATTGAAACCACTTTCCTCCTCAGCCTGACCGGGAGCCTTGAGCCCAGAGAGACAAGGCTACTTGCTCAAAGGCAGAACCAGAAAGAATTTATGGAGCAGTTGTCTCCAGGAGGGAGGAAGTTTGTTAAGGATCTGAGTGGCCGTAATTGTAATCTCTGTCTCTTGGTAATTTCAATAAGGCCCCTGGGCACTCGAGTTATTTCTTGAAGTTGTTCACTGCAACCTTGTTACACAAAGGGTGGCCTGAGGCCCAGCAGCACCGGCATCCCCTGGGACATTGGGAGACGTGCAGAATCTTAAGCCTCACCTTAAACTGACTGCACCAGAGTCTGCCTCAGGAAGTCATGGGAGACATTCTTGGTTAAAAGATGACCCTGAGAGGTGCCTGTGAGGGAAGAGGAACGAAGCCATAAAACACCGTGCTGATGCAGCCAACCCCTCAAAGGGGGAAGAGCTAGGTTTCCCTCGAATGGGTCGGTCACTGCCAGGATTATATTCCCCGAGCCTTTCTGAACTACCTGACTCGACTCATAGTGACCCTCTGAGTCAGGTAGAACTGCCCCTGTGAGTTTCCCAGACTGTTGACCGGAGTAGAAAGCCCAGTCTTTCTCACAAGGAGCTGCTGGTGGTTTCAAACTGCTGGCCTTAAGAATCGCAGCCCAACTCATAACTGCTACATCCCTAGGCCTGTAGAGTTTGCACCTAGAGAGGTCAACAGGTGGACCCTTGAACAGTCCAGGTGATAAATTACAGTGAATGGCCAGTGCTGCTGTGTTCAAGGTAAAAAACCAAACTAAACCAGGTTTTCTTGGACAATGACTGCAAGCAGGAGGGTCTTGTCCCGAAGCTGGTACCGAGGAGAAAGGCCAGGGCGGGCTGGGGGCCTACGTTCCGTGGGGTGGAGACGGGGCCCAGCTGCAGTGCCAGCATTCCTGATCGCCCTCTGATCTTCTCAGTGACGCTGCCCGCCACCATCATGACATCGTCCGTGCCCACAACTGTGGGCGGCCACATGATGTACCCCAGCCCCCACGCAGTGATGTACGCACCCACCTCGGGCCTGGCTGACGGCAGCCTCACCGTGCTCAATGCCTTCTCCCAGGCGCCATCCTCCATGCAGGTGTCCCACAGCCAGGTCCAGGAGCAAGGTGAGCCCCCCTCTCTCCCTTGAGCCTCTCTCTCTCTCTCTCTCTCTCTCTCACACACACACACACACACACACACACACACACACACGCATGTGCACGGCACAGTCACTGGGACATCCACACCCACACGTGTCCTCGGGCACGTTTGGATGCTCACAACAACAGGCAGTCTTGGGTGTGTATATCTGAGGCTGGCCCCATCACCAGTGCACTTATCACCGCTTGCTGTCCCTAATATATGGACGTTTCTCTTGGGTCACTGGGGTAACGATCTCCTGTGGTTTCCCAATGCAGGCGGCGTCCCGCAGGTGTTCTTGACGGCGCCATCTGGGACAGTACAGATTCCTGTTTCTGCTGTTCAGCTTCATCAGGTAGGTGGGGCACTGCCCACCCCATCCCAGTCAGGGACTTCTTTGTCTTGACCTTGGTGGGGCGGGCTGGGCCAGGGGGCACGCCATTACCAGTTAGTCACAGACAATCCCTGGCCAGGACGCCTGTTTGTTGCCTGGTGTGGCCCGGGTGCTGGAGCTGGCTGGTCAGTGCCTGCCTTCCCTTCCTCATCCGCCCACTTCCCTCCAGATGGCTGTGATAGGGCAGCAGGCTGGGAGCAGCAGCAACCTCACCGAGCTACAGGTGGTGAACCTGGACGCCACCCACAGCACCAAGAGTGACTGATCCGTCCCGCCGCCCTGGACAGATGACCCAAGGGATGGCACCACTTATTTATTGTTGCCTTTTCACGTTTTTACACACACGTTGACGGGCCGCAGGAGGGAGGGGGAGAGGAGGAGCGGGCAGCCACCGGACTGAGCCCTCTCACTCCAGCCAAAGAAATGGGCCTGCCCGCCCTCCACCCTGCCCTCCTCCCCTCCCCTCCTCCTGACTCCACCTCCTGAGTCTGTTGATGGTGGGCTCCCCTCCCCTCCCCTCTTGGACTCCCCTTGCCAGCTTGGCCCCATGTTTGCCATGAGTATTAGCTATACCCAATTGGACCGTGCCCACGCACAGGCCTTCGGTGGGACTAGGCACTGCATCTTCCCCTGAGGAAGCAGTTGGGGCCCTCTCCCTAGCCTCCTTGCTGACCTGGGCCAGCGCTGTGTCTGCCACGGGCTGGGTCTAAAGAGCCCTACCACTGCCCCTCAGGGAGCCAGCTGGGGAGGTGGGAGGCTTCTTTCCTCCACCCACATCCTGTGCCCCCTCAGCTCCCAAATAGCTGGGTCCATGCGTGCACTGGGCAGGTTCCTGGGCCATCTGCCCTGCCTTGCCTCTCTCCCCTTGGACCTGACCTCCAGGGGCCCCTGGGATGGAGGGAACTACCAGTGTTCCCTTTGACCCCTTGTCTTCCCCCTCCCTCCTCCCAGCTGCTTGACTTAAAAGTTGATTTTGAACTTTTTATTTGAGGAGACAAAGTGAAAACAAATCTATAAATATATATTTTTAAAATATTTAACTTTTTTTTATGGCGTTTTTCTTGTCCCCCCCCCTCCCTGCCCAAACTCCCCATCTCTGGGGAGCCCAATGGCTCCCCAGAACTGGCTGGGCCCCAGGGGACAAGCCATGCCCCATGAGCTGGGGGCCTGTCAGTGTGTGGGGGAGATCCTGGGACTGCTCCCTGCTGGGTGGTCACCAGCTGGGGGAAGTGCCCTCAGGCCATGCCCCAATGGGGTGAGGAGGGTAACCCACAGCCCTAGGGGACCTCTTTTTGCCCTGTAAGGTGTTGCTAGGGAGAGGGAAGAGGAAGACCAAACGTGGGAGTGGGAAAGGCAGGGTGGGGGTGGGGCATTAGAAGGCACCCGACTTCATTAGTGCCACATGCATGGGCATTGCAGCCTTGTGCTCCTCCTTGCCTGCAGCTGCAGTGAGCAGGGTGGGGTCTGGGAGGGAGGAGAGGCAGGAATGGGGGTCTGAGGAAGTGGAAGCGGCTCTTGGGCTCTTGGGCCGAAGACAGCAACAGGGGAGCCAGAGGTGGCCAGCTCTCCCAGGGAGTGAGCAGCTACTGTAACTTTTTTAAATTAAGACAAAAAGCCTTGAAGAAAATGACTTTATTTTTCTAAGTGTAACCTCAGTATTTATGTAATTTGTACAGGGGCCGAACCCCACCCCTCTCACCCCCTTTGGGGTAGACCTTGAGGGTGGGCCTGCATAGGGGGGATCTTTACCCTGTGCCAACCTCCCTTCACCACCTAGATTCAGAAAGTGGGCTTTTTCAGAACCGCTGCAGCAGCTGGGGTGGAGTTTTATTAACCCTTGATGGCTGCCTTCAGTAGCAGCAAATCAGCTTCTGCAATTAGGTAAAGGGGTGTGGGAAGATTCTAGGCACAGCCTACTTTTCAAGGGATGATCGGCCGACCTGTTTGAGAACCCCCTGACCTCTAACCTCCACTGCTGTCCCATTTCGGGGTGCCGAGATGAAGTCTCCTTTCTGGGCTTTTCTCCTGGAGATAATGGGTGGCTTTTCTCCTGACTCTTGGGTGGCTTGCAAGGCTGAGCATGGCAAAGCAGGGCCCAGAGAGTGGGGGAGCTTGGGACTCAGGTCTGTAACTGCCCAGCCCCTTCTCTGCTCTTGTTTCACTCCACCCCCACTCACTCACTCTCCACCCCCCACCCTCACACGTGAGAGGAAACTTTAATAATTCCTCCTCTCGTTCCCACAAGACAGACCCAGTGAGTGAATCAGGCAAAGAGTTGATAATGTGTGTGGTGTGAGCGTGACCTTGTGAGAACCTGTGTGTCAGGGATGAGGTGGCATTTCTATGTGCAGCGACCCTTGGTGTTCCCCTTCCTCGGTGGCTCTGGGGTATGTGTGTGCACTCGAGTGAAAGTGTGTGTGAATGTGGGTGTGTGTGTGTGTCAGTGGTTTCTACTTCCCCCTGGGATGCTGACCCGGGAATAGTAGAAATGGTCACAGTCCTATGTACAGAGCTTTGTTTTGTATTAAAAAAAAATACTCTTTCAATAAATGTATCATTTTTGTGCACAGTCTGTGGGGTCTTTGGCTCTGTTTGTCCACTTAGGGGAGGAGGGATGGAGGCCCCAACAGGAGTTGCTACACCTGTGAAGGAATTCGGGTCGAATGCTGCAGAACGGAAATTTGAAAGGCTGGCAGGGGCCGTTGAACCTTAAAGGATTTAATTTGAGAACCTTTCTCAATTCATGGCTTTACTAGGTGCTTAGGCCAACAGGGAGATAAGCAATTTTAATTAACAGGGAAGGTGGCACAATTAACCCAAGGCACTGCTGAGGAGCCTTTGGAGACCATGGGCATGTGCACGAGTGCTAAAGTAGTGTAGTGGTCACATGTTGGGCTGCTATCCTCAAGGTCAGCAGTTCGAAACCACTGCGGGAAAGAGGAAGCTTTTTGTGGTCTCATAGTTACAGCCCCAGGGGCCTACACAGGGCAGTTCTAACCCGACCGACAAGGGCCCTTAGAAGTCGGCATCAACTTGTCGGCAGTGAGTTTGTTTTTTCAAAGGGTGGCAGAGTGGGGACGTCCCTTTCCTGTGGTTTCAGGATGGTGTAATGGGGGACGGGGAGCCAAAAAACAAGACCCACTGTCAAGCTAGTGGACTTCGACTCTGATTGCATAGAGGGTTCTGAGACAACCTCCAACCCCGCGGCCACCAAGCCCATGCTTAACCCACGGAAAGGGGTGTGAAGTTCCCTGGAACGGGAAGGTGTGTCTTCCTCAGGCTGCAGAGCGGGCCACGTGACCGGCGTCCGCGCCGTTGCCGCGGCGACTGCGCATGCCCCGCGCGCGTGCGCGTGCGCGCTCCTCCGCCACGCTCGGGCGGGGGCCCAGGCGGGACCCGTAGCTGCGCAGCCGTCCGTCCGCACGCCCGCCCGCGGCGTGACCCGGAAGGGAGCCGCTGAGGAGGCGGGGCCGGCGCGGCGGGACTGGCCGCTGAGTCCCAGCGAGGGCCGAGCCGGGCGGGCGGCGGCGGGAGGTGAGAGGGGAGTCCCGCGCGGCCCCGGCCCCGCCGGGCCCACCCTGCCCCCTTCCGTCATCACCGTGGGGCAGACGAGGGCTCCCGGGCTGAGGTCGGACTTTCCGACCCGCCGGGTCCTCTCCGCCTCGCAGGACCGCGCCCCTCCAGCCTCGCTCCGCCCCCAGCCCCGTGCAGGTCCTCGTGCCGCCGCCCCCTCGGCGCTGCCCGGACGCCGCGCTGTGAGGCTGCGGGTCTGCGCCCTTGTTGGGGAGCCCCTCAGATTTGTCAGGGCGCCGTCTCCACACGGCTCCATCCACCGTCGTTGGCTACCTCCGCTTTCCCGGACCCCTGCCCCCATCTCGGCGCCAGCCTTCGGTTCCCGCCGCATCTTTTAACCCGGGAACCCCACGCGACGACCTCCTGCCCCGGTGGATCACCTTGTCCCCGGCTCGGTTTCCCCTGTCTCTGGTGCTCCTGCCCCTGCCCTGCACCCCACAGACCCTGCCGTGAGCCCCCTCCCCGTTTCCAATCCTCACTTTCCTGACGGCTGCCCTACCTCGCCCCTCTAGGAAGAACAGCATTCGATGGTTACCAGCCTTCCCTCACCGCGTGTCGGACATTGGTCTCACTAAGTGCATTACATACATGATCTTAGTACATGGTTACCACGACCGAGGTAAGTATGGACGTGATCGCCCGCGCACAGCCGAGGCACAGTCACTTGTTCACAACGCCGCGGCGAGTCAGCGAGCCAGGATTTAAAGTCAGGTTGATGGCGCTGACTGACATCTGTGTCACATTGGCTGCTTATTAATACTTTCATCCTCATTCCCTACCCTTCAGCCCCATTACTGCCACCTCCCCTTTTGTCTACCCCACCTAGACCCTCACCATACATGTAATGTAAATATGGAGTGGGCTTTTTCAGCTGATCCCTAGGCTCTTGCCCTGCCCCCCACCAACCTGGCTTTCTCAGCCTTTGCCCCCAAACCCTCTCATCCACATTCTCCACCCTCCAAATCCCAGCCTCCTGTCCATCTCCTTGCTCTGTATTTGCCCTGGCCAACCTCTTGATCCGAATTCCAGCGTTGCTCCATCACACATATTCCCAGGCCTGCCTTGCTTTGAGCTTGTCTGGCTGTCCGGTTCAGGCCCCACTATCTCACGTGCTCTGCCCTGCCATTCACCCCTGGCATCTCTCGGGTCTGATGTGTATCCCTCAGCCACCCTGCCCCTCTGTCCAGAGTCCTGCTACACTGTCCCACGCCTTACTAGTACCTTGCTGTGACTCTTATTCCCCTGGGTGCCCTCACTCCCACGCCCCTTTTATAAACCCCAGCATGTGTTTAGTGATCGATCCATCCCTGGCCTGGCCTCTCTTCTGTATCCCTTGGATTCCTCCAAGCAGCTTACCAACCACCACCCAGTTGGTCTCACAGTTCCACTCCGTCTTTCTCACACTGCCTTTGTCCTTCTCCTTGTCCCAGGAGATCCACATGGTGGGGGAACAGTGCTCCAGGGACCTCATGGTGCCCTTGGGGCCCCGGCTACAGGCATTTCCTGAAGAGCTCCTTCGACAACGGCCCGGCCACGATGGATGCCCTGAGTACCTGGTCCGGTGGAGTGTCCTGAAGTGTGGGGGAGCGGGCAAAGTGAGTGTGGGCGCCAAAGAGAAGGCAGAGCATATCCTCATGTGGCTGTCAGCTCCTGAGGTCTACGCCAACTGCCCCCTGCTGTTGGGCGAGCGGGTGCTACTGAAGGGCCCTCCCCACGAGCCAGCTGGGCCTTCAGGAAACTTTCCCCGAGATCCAGGAGGCCTGGATGAAGTGGCCATGGAAGAGATGGAGGCTGATGTGCGGGCGCTGGTGCGCAGGGCCGCCAGGCAGCTGACAGAAGGTGGACCGTCGAGCCTCACAGCTGCAGTGCTACACACTGTGCACGTGCTCAGCGCCTATGCTAGCATCAGCCCCCTCACCGGGGTCTTCAGGGAGACGGGCGCCCTGGACCTGCTCATGCAGATGCTGTGCAACCCTGAGCCTCAGATCCGGCGGAGTGCCGGCAAGATGCTGCAGGCCCTGGCTGCCCATGATGCTGGTAAGAGGAGAAAATGCTGGGAGGGTGGGCCCTGGAACAAGAGCAGAATGAGGCACTGCACAAGAGCCTGTGTTCGGGG